TTTTGTCTTCTTGGTAGGGGGCCCAGTCCGGGTACCAGAGAGGACAGAGTCTCAGAGCATCTCTTCACGATTCCTGTTGCAAGTACAGACTCCCCCGCTCAGGTACCTCTCCCTACAGCAGTTCTCACTCTTCTACAAGGAGCTGTGGCTCACTTGACCTCACAGCACTCTCCAAAGGGCTAGTCGAGGCAGCATGCTGAGTATTTTGCACTCTCAAGTTTTGGGACAAGTGGCTTTGTGCCTGGCTTTGTGCCTGCCCTTCTCCCAGAGCTTCTGGTGTTGTGAGAGCTTTTCCCCGTCTTGGCAGGAAGGACTCCTCAGCCTTCTCTGGGCCTTCTTCCACATTTCCTCCCTGTAGGGAACTGTCCCCATATTCCTCAAGCCTGGCACTGACATCGAGACCAGTCCAGATGCTGCAGGCTTCGGGTGAGCAACTAAGAGGCAGTGGTGCCAGTCCTCCAGGAGCACCCCCAGAGGCAGAGACCTCCTCTGGAAATGCCGGCCCCCAGCAGGCAGTTCCTGTGCTTTTGCCACGACGCCGTCTCAACCTGGACAGTAGCTGGGCTCCCAAGAGAGTGGCTGCAGCCAGCAGCCCTTTAGGTGGACTCCAGAAAGCCCGGTCTGTGCAGAGTCTGGTGCTGCAGGGTGAGGAGCCTGGTGGGCCCAACTCCAGGGTGTGGGGATTATGGAGCACATGAGCATGCTAGAGGAAGGAGGGCCTGATTTAGCCCTGATGTATCACTCTGCTTGCCACTGGGTGTCCCTCAGTGGGTATGCGCAGTGCACAGCAACTCCTAGGGAGCTGGGCCCTAGCACCTGGGATGCCTTCCTCACCATCTGACTTGTGTCCGTCTGTCTTCTCTGCAGATGAGGGCCCACCACCAGGCCCATTGCTTTTAGGGGAGACAGAGGCCCAGGGGGGCCTGCACTCCCTGCCACAGGCTGACAGCCATCTGTCTCAGCCTCAGTCCTACCGGAACCCCACCACCAGTTCCGTGGCCAAGATTTCCCGCAGCATCTCTGTTGGGGAGAACTTGGGCCTGGCAGCTGAACCTCAGGCTCCTGCTCCCATTCGAGTCTCACCGCTCAGCAAGCTAGCCCTGCCCAGCAGGGCTCACCTGGTCTTGGACATCCCAAAGCCACTGCCGGATCGTCCTACCCTGGCCACATTCTCACCTGCTACCAAGGGCAGGGCCCCTGGTGAGGTGGAACAGCCTGGTTCCTCAATGGGCCTAGGAAAGGCTCATAGTACATCTGAGAGGCGGGCTTGTTTGGGGGAGGGTGCCAAGCCTAGGACAGAGTGCCAGGCTCAGCCTGGGCCCAACAGCCCCTGTGCCCAGCAACTGCCGGTCAGCAGCCTCCTCCGAGTCCCTGAGAACTTGCAGCCCCCACCCCCTGAGAAGACTCCTAGCCCCATGGAATGCACCAGGCCAGGGGCCCTGAGCCAGGACTCAGGTGTGCACAGCTCCCCAGCTTTCATCTCCCACCCCGTCCTCTTTCTCCTGTTTCTGTTGTCTGCTCTCTGGCTCCATCCCATTTCTGTGCGTCCAGCCTCTGGTGTTTTCGTCCTGTCTGCTCCTGTCTTGGTTCATAAGTCACACCCCTGATGGTGAGACACTCCCACCAATCTTCATGATCTCCTTGTGACCTCCTGCTCCCTTGCCTTCTGGCCTCTTGGCTGGCCCTCCCCTCTGAACCTTGTTTTCTGTGTGGTGTGGGGAGCAGTGTTGGGAAAAAGGGACTGTGGGTAAATGGAGGGGGTATCATCCTGGGGGTAGGGCTCTCTTGCTCTCAGTAGCCCCTGGGTTGTGAGGGGAGGCCTGAAAGGGCAGCTTTGCTGGGCCTGAGTTATACGTGTCCCTCCCAGAGCCAGCAGTGAGCCTGGAGCAGTGCGAACAACTTGTGGCAGAGCTCCAGGGCAACATGCGCCAGGCTATGCGGCTCTACCACTTGGTACGTGTTGGGTGCCCACCGTCTGAGAGACAGCATGTCAGGAGTGCTAGCTGACGACCCAGAACAACCATGATAAGGCTCTTCCACAGATGGGTGGGTGGAGCAATCAAGAACATCCTGGGCAGAGTAGGCAAGGGAGTTAGAAGTCAGGCCAGGCCTCTTGAACTGAGCACCTATCGGTCATTTCTAAGAGCTGGAGACTTCCTGACTGGAGGGGTATAAGTGGAGAGACCATAGGTCCTAGTTTGTCCTAGGACCATCGCAGTTTATGCCTGTTGTCCCAGTATAATTATTAATAGTAGCCCTTGTCATATTCAAAAATGATTTGGCCACCGTAGACATAGGGGACAGTCCAGCAGGGCCCTCTTTGGGGGCAGGCTAGACCCGAGTGGGCCCCTCCCCTCTGTATATCCACTGACAGGAGGTTCTTCCACTGTTCCTCTGACTTACTTCCTGGGTCCTCCTACAGGTGGCTGGCTGCAAGACACCCTCGGCAGAGCAAAGTCGCATCACCCAGCTCCTCAGAAACACCTTCTCTTCAGTACGGCAGGAGCTAGAGGCCCTGGCCGGGGCAGTGTTATGCAGCCCAGGCGGGAGCCCTGGGGCTGTGGGGGCTGAGCAAACACAGGCCTTGCTAGAGCAATACTCAGAGCTGCTGCTTCGGGCTGTGGAGCGGCGCATGGAACGCAGACTCTAGTTTCAGAATCCTGTTCCAAGTGAATGCTCCCCCTATTCCAAACTGTAACCCCTGCTCCACTCTCCAGAACCCGTGGGGATACTTGGAGTGGAAAGCAGGGATCAGTGCTCAGAGGGGAAGCAGCTTTCCCAGCTACTTCTCATGGGGCCCCTGTATTTATTAATTTATTTCCCTGACTGTTGCCTCACTTTTTTGGAAATCCTGCCTCCACAGCCCGTCTAGTGGCTCATGCAGGGTAGGTCTTGGATCTTTGTCATCTTGGTGCTGTGAGGAGTAGGAGGGCAGCCTGCCCCATCTGGGGGAAATTGGGAAGGGCTGGCCCTCTCTTCTTAGAAGCCATTTGAAATTACTGCAGGGATCAGCTCCCTGGGGTGGAGCACACACAGGGTATTCAGTGGGGTGGAAGTGAGAGGCCATGTGGTATCAGTGCCCTTCAGCCAACAGCGGAGCTTCACCTCTACCTCCACTTCCCCTCCCATACCAGCTGCACTCCCCTGACTGCCAGAGCAGGGGTTATCTGTTTTCCCCAATTCCTGGCAGTTCCCAAAGGCAAAGCCCTCTAGCCCTCCAGGGCATTTCCAGCCATCAGGAGGCTTGAGTGGTATCAAGGCCTGAGCCTCCACATTCCACTCCCATTCTCCCTTTAAGAGAGCCCTAGCATTATCTCTCTCCCTGTACCACCCCCCTTTCTTTCCTGGCCAGAACTTGTGGAGACAGCTGTGGGATGTTGCTGCAGGACAGTAAAGCCCTCTGCTGGGCAAACAAAGCCCTGGCCTCTTTTTCTCAGCCCCTTGGTCTTCCCTATCTGCCCGGTCCTGATCCCCAGCAGACTGTTAGACCCAGAGGCTACCTTCTGCTTGCATCCTGAGAGATGACTGTGTTAGAACTTCCCTCAAGGTTTACAGGGCACCAGCCCACCTCTAAGGACCTTGGCCACAGATGAAGTCTACACACACACACACACACACACACACACACACACACACACACACTTGAGTGTTCATGGCTAGAGTACCTGGCTGGCTGATGTGTGCCTGGTTTCCCTTCTTGTACTACTCCTGCTTTACCACCCTGGGTCATGTGGAATTATCAAGGAACACAAAAAGGATGCTAGCCCGAATTCTGGATTCTTGGTGTCCACAACCTAGTCAATATGAGATGGCTTGTGGGTTTCTGATTTGGGTGGAAGGAACCTCCTCAAAGGCAGTGCTGGGCACCCAGGATACTCTGGATACCGGAAGTTGAGGGGAGGGGAGAGGCACATGGGACTGCAGAAGGGGTCAAGAGACACCAGGAAAGGTGGTAGGTGGGACAGGTACGTGGTAGAGGGGAAGGGGGTAGATTAGAATTAGAAGGGCAGTTGTTAGGGGTAAGGGGATGGATATAGGGCACAGAGGGCAGGTAGAGTGGGACCAAGTAGTGGAGCAGTTGTTGGGTTGAAGAACATGTGTCTCTGGGCCCTACTGCTTCCCTCTGCCTCAGGTAAGTCTGGGTAGCTTTCCTGGAGATTTGGGCCAGAAAAAGCTATTCTTCCACGGACAGGCCATCCCTGCTGGTTCTATAGGTAGAAGCTTAGAAAGAAACAGGTTTCTGTAGAGTGCCCAGCTCTTGTTTGCATCAGCCAGGCATGCCCCAGCACAGATGAAACCTGTTTCACCTTCACTCTTCGGTACTACCACACCACCACCTGCATAGCCAAACTGCAAAGAAGTCCTACAGCTGCCCTTGGTGAGGGTTGGAAGTCTACTCCCACTCCCCCCACTGGCACGCTAGTCACAGCTCAGCCCAAAAAGGCTCAGGCCTGGCCCTCGGGCTGGGTTCTCTCTGAACCTCAGCCAGCCAGTCCTTCAGAGGAGGGAGATACACTCCGGTAAGGTTTGTGAGAAGGTGGCCGCCCTTCCCCACCCACGGCTGAGCGTTGGGTGGGAAGGGGGGTCTTGTGGTCGGCCAACGCCCGCCCCTTTCTGCATGTCTGAGGCCACCGGCAACTGCCGCCCCCCCAACCAGATTTGCCCTGATCCAGTTTTGAACCCTTACCCCCCTTATTTATAACTTTTATATTTTGTCCAGGCCCTGGCGCTTCCCTCTTCCCCAGGTCTCACGGGGCAGGAGCCGTTTTTAACTCGTCCGTTTGTATTGATGTATGAACTCGTCAATAAACACAATCATTTGTTAACTCTAGGATGCCCGCGAGTGGGGCGGGCGGGAGAAGGCGCGGCCTCTCGCCGGCGGCGGGGTTCGCTGGGGTTCGCAGAACCCGGGCGCGCGGGGGGCGGGGCCTCGGCGGGGGCGGGGCTTCCAGGGCCGACGCGTGGCCCCGCGGCGGCGGCGGCGGCGGCGGCGGCGGCGTCATGGCGGAGGCGGCCTTGGACGCGGTGCGGAGGGAGTTACGAGAATTCCCGGCCGCCGCAAGGGGTGAGTGGGCGCGCGCAGGGCAGCCTCGGGACGCGGGCGGGACCTTGGGCTGCGGGAGCCGGGGCCCCGAGGCGGGTGCGCCCTGACCCTGCTGGGCCGCCGACCCCATCGGTCCGCCTAGTTGGTGCCCTCGAGGAGCGCAGAAGCTCGGGCACCTGACCCCTTGCTGGCCCACTGCGATCACTGGGCCCTCAGCGGCCCTGCTCCCGTGTTCGCATGTCCTTGTGGCTTTCTGGGGTGACTCTTCGCTTTTACCCCCAGGGCCCGGGCCAGTCTTCCCCCTGCTGTGTTTCCCACAGTCGGGGCCCGGATAATGGGGCGGTCTGTTCTTGCCCCTCCCAGCCTTTCCAGCTCCCTGTCTGAACCCCTGCTGGAACACTGTTGAGGAGCGGACTTCTCCGAGTCGGTGCAGAGCTTTAGGAGAATCGTAGGCAACTGTACAAGTAATCCCTGGCTCTTCCCCTGCTTCGTTTTATTTTTCTCTCTCCTTGGTTCCCCCTCTCCCTCCTTCCCAATTTTGTTTTACCGTTAATTGGCAACACAGGCACGTGGTTTAAAAAAACGTATTTGTGATGTAAGCATTCCTCCCGGTCTAGGCTCCAATTTGCATCCTCCCAGAAGCAGAAATACTCCAAATCTACACACACGCACAACTGTGTATCTCCTTTTGTATACAAATGGTAGCCTGCTAAACACTTTTTTGCACTATGTATTTTGAAGACCACCCCATATCCCTCTTCCTCAGTCTTTTTCACACCTGTGTACTAGTGTGGTAACTTACTGAATCAGCCTACTATTGACAGGTATTTAGGTCATTTGCAGTCTTTCTTTTTACTAATGCTTCAATGAATACTTTGAGCACCTCCATAGTAAGCACCTCAATGTGTTTAGGATGCATCAGTGAACAAATCTCTGCCCTTATGGACCTTACATTCCAGGTGAGACAGCGCTAGACACACTAAATGAGTTAATTATACAGTTGAAGAGATGGATTAGAAGATAAATGTGGGAGAAAAAGTAAAGCAGAATAAGAGGTCTCATGCCAGGGATGGGGTAGGGGCAGGTTCTTTTTTTTTTTTTTTTTTAAGATTTTATTTATTCGTGAGAGAGAGAGAAGCAGAGACACAGGCAGAGGGAGAAGCAGGATGTGGGACTTGATTCTGGGACTCCAGGATCACGCCCTGGGCCAAAGGCAGGCACCAAACCACTGAGCCACCCAGGGATCCCCTAGGGGGCAGGTTCTAAGTTTAAGTAAGATGGTCAGGGTAGGTAGGCTGCCTTGATAAAGCGATGTTTGAGCACAGGCTTGAAGAAGGAGAGGAAGGTAGTGAGCCACTCAGACATTTGAGAGAAGAGCATTGCAGATAGAGGGCACTCGGGCCCACTTCCTGAAGTGGAAGTGTGCCTGGTGTGTTCACGGAACAGTGAAAAGGCCAGTGTGTACATGTATGAGTATTTTTGTTGGTTAGATTTCTAGCAGAAGAATTGTTAGGCCAAAGGAATTGTTTGGGTCCCTTTTGAAATTCTCTCACATTGAAGCCTCTGAAGGGAGCAGTAGCCATTCTCTATAGGTCTTTTCATTGATGAGGTAGTAAAGCTGAAATAATTGCAGAAAATACAGAAGGTGAAAAAAAAGTGGAAGTTTCCGCATATTTTAAGAATCCCAGTGAGAACAAGAGGGAGATTTATAGCACCCCAAATCACCTTCCCAATGTGACTGCTTTGATGGGCTGGCCTGACTGGGCTGGTCCTTTGCTCCCTTATCAGCTTGGCAGGTTCTCTCTTTTCCTTCCGGCCGGTGAAGTAAGTATATGTGCCATCTCTCTCCTTTTCAGTTTTGTTGAGTCCACCAGCATCTTCCCACTTGGAGAAGACTTCCCCACTTCCCACTTTTTGATCTAAAGACATTTCCTTTCCAACTGCAAAGCAAAGATGACCAGTGTGCAGACTGACTTGAGAGAGAGAGCGTGACCTCAGAGGTGAAAATTAGTGCAGTGGCCTCCCACTGGGGCCAAGGGATTCAGGCTGGATCTCACAGATGAAACTAAAAGTCAAGCCCTGTGTACCCTTTATAGACGCTAGGAGAAAGGCATTTCAGTCTGAGCAGCAGGAACGAAGTTTGGCTCCACCTGAGAGTGTGGTAAGGGGCAGGCACCAGACAGGAGGAAACCAGACTGGAAAAGTAGGTTGGGCCTGATCATGATCATGTATCACCTTGAATGCATGCCAGAGTGGACTATAATTTATAAACCATCAAAGGATTTTTTTTTTTTTTAACTAGGGGTATGGCAAGATGAGATTGTATTTTAGGAAGATGACTGGGGCCAGGGTGAGGGATGCTTTGAGAGGGAGTGGAATTGAGCCAAGGGAACCAGTTCTTTACAGCAACCAGCCAGCCAGGAGATATTAGAGACTTTGAACCAGAAAGCCAATATTTACTGAGCACCTGCTGTATGTTAGGGACCTTTCTAGGTCCTAGGGATACATCAGAGAACAAGAAATGCATCCCTGCCTCCATGGAGCTTATATTTGATGCCAGCAAGAGAGACTAATGGACAGTTTTGCCAAGTGAAATACATAGTGCACTACATGGTGATGAACAAAAGGGGTAGAGAAGGGAAAAAAGGCAAGGGGTATAGGATTGTTGGGGACAGGTTCCGATTTAAAAGGGTTGTCAGGGAAGGAAGCCTCGTTGAAGTAATATTTGAGGACCTGAGGAAGTAATCTAAAGGTAGGTACTGGCAGAGGAAAGGAGGGTATAGTCTAAGAGACAGAAGGTAGAATCACTAGAACTTCGTGAACATCAGTAGAGTGACAGGAGTGAGGGAGAAAGAAGAACTAAGATTTGAGAGAATCGACACAGGGCCACTGTAGACATCTGCGCAGATGGCATACTGCGTGACCTGCATAAATGCATGTGGTAGTGCTGAGTGTCTGAGGACGCTGATGCTGTTTAGGAAGATCAGAGACACAGTTCAGCCCTTGCTTTCCCTCTTACGGTTTTGTGTGCCAATCTTAGGTTGTAATCTTCTTGAGATGACTAGGATCATCACTTTACCTCCACATTGGCTAAACCAAGTGCTGAGTACATTCTAGGTACTCAGTATCAGTGTTGGAGGGTGCTTTCTAAAGTCTAGACTCACCCACATCAGCCTGTGGCCTTGGGGCCTCAGTGCTACTCATTCGGGAGCTCCCTGCACTGTCTAACTGGCTGCATCTCCTGATGGCTGGCAGGAGGTTGGGCACTGCAGGGTGTGAAAGCCGAGGTTTCACTGTACAGGGCTGGTCTCAAGGACGGTTGGGATTTTAGGCTAAGCAGCATCCCCTGGCCCTGTGGACTCTTATAGCCCAGCTCGATGTGTTTGTGGGTGCTTCATGCTTTCTCCCTTAAATTTCCCTCATTCTTCAATTCCTGGTTGTCTGGGGTCCCTTGGTCATCAGTGGGCATTATCCAGTGGTAACAGCATGTCCTGCCCAGGGAATGCATCTCTTATGTAGGCAGTGGGGCAGCAACTGGGTGCTGTTGGCTTCAGCCCCTCAACCCTCCTCTTTCTCTCAGAGCTCAGTGTGCCTCTTGCTGTGCCCTACCTGGACAAGCCCCCCACTCCACTGCACTTCTACCGAGACTGGGTCTGCCCCAATAGGCCCTGCATCATCCGTAACGCCCTGCAGCACTGGCCAGCCCTGCAGAAGTGGTCCTTCCCTTATCTCAGGTGGGGGCTCCCCTGGGGGGTGTTGGGTGGTACTTTGTGGTCTCTGGGTAGGCTGAAAGTCCTTTCTTCCAGAGCCACAGTGGGCTCCACAGAGGTGAGTGTGGCTGTGACCCCAGATGGTTATGCAGATGCTGTACGAGGGAATCGCTTTGTGATGCCTGCTGAGCGCCGCTTGCCCCTGAGCTGCGTGCTGGATGTGCTCGAGGGCCAGGCCCAGCACCCGGGAGTCCTCTATGTGCAGAAGCAGTGTTCCAACTTGCCCACTGAGCTGCCCCAGCTGCTGTCTGATCTAGAGCCCCACGTGCCCTGGGCCTCTGAGGCACTAGGTGAGTGAAGGCATGGCATGGGCCAGGCAGGGAAGGAATGGGAAGGAAGGAGTCAACTCTGCTTGCTGCTTCTCCCTTTGGTGATGACTTGGCCAAACTCGGGCCCTCAAGGTCAAGTGCTGTGCACTAAATGCTCAAGTCTCCAGGCCACAACTTTGTATTGAACTACTGAACATTGTTACCCTCCTTTCTACCCCAGGGGAGGAGACTCCTCCTGGAGCTCACCCTCCTCTGTGCCTTCTCCCTGTTTGCTCCTCCCTGTGAGCTTCTGGTGCCTGCTCCTTCTCTCTCTCCCTTCAGCACCCCCCGGCCCCCCGGTTCTGGTCCGGCATCACCGTATGGTAGTTATTCCCAGCCTGACTATTGAGAATGACCCGTCCTAACTCTGTCTCTTACCTCTGACCTGCAGGAAAGATGCCTGATGCTGTGAATTTCTGGCTAGGAGAGGCGGCTGCAGTGACATCTTGTAGGTGTCAAAGGAATACAGAGGTGGGGGAGGAGGGAAGAGGAGGCCAAGAGTGGAAGGTTGGGTTTGGATGGAAGTTAGATGGGCTATTCTCTGAGATTTCTTTTGGAATTCTGGGGTTTGGACATGACAGAGGGCTTCCCTGTAGCTCAGGTTAGGGAAGGTCCCATGGCACTGGGGTAGAGGGCACTGTTTCTTCTAGGTCTCTAGAAAGCCCTCCATAGGCCAGCTAGGTCAGGGGTAAACTCAGGAGAACCTTGTTTGCTTGAATTTCCCCTCTTGGCAGTAATGAGCGCAGGATCTGGTGAGCATCCAGTCGCTGGCAGGCAGAGATCGGAAATGCCAAATGCTTGCCCAGCTCCTCAGCATCCCCTGGAGCCTGCTTTGTGCTCTTCTGTTATACTATCTGTCACATCTGTCTTTTTTTTTTTTTTAATTTTTATTTATTTATGATAGAGAGAGAGAGGCAGAGACACAGGGAGAGGGAGAAGCAGGCTCCATGCACCGGGAGCCCGACGTGGGATTCGATCCCAGGTCTCCAGGATCGCGCCCCGGGCCAAAGGCAGGCGCCAAACCGCTGCGCCACCCAGGGATCCCTGTCACATCTGTCTTAAGTGCAGGGCATTGGATGCGATCATTTGCCCCCTCTTAACCCTGCCCACTGGGGCTTCTTTGTATTGGCAGTACATAAGGACCACTACGAAAACCTCTACTGTGTGGTCTCAGGGGAGAAACGCTTCCTGCTACATCCACCCAGCGACCGGCCCTTCATCCCCTATGGTAGGGGACTCAGCCTCTAAGTGCTGGAGAGCTGGTGGCCCAAGGTAGAGGGAGGGCAGTGGGGGCCCTGGGCAGGCTGGTGCGCCAGGCCTGAGGTGTGGGCACAGCATTGCCATTGTGCTCAGAGAACGAGTGGGAGGAGCTGACAAGCTGCAGGCTGTTTGAGTGTCCCCATACTTTTCTCTCTCTGGTTTCAGAGCTGTACACACCAGCAACATACCAGCTAACCCAGGAGGGCTCCTTTAAGATGGTGGATGAAGAAGCCATGGAGAAGGTGTCTGCCTCCTTCCCGGGCCCTGGGGTAGGGGGAGGGTAGGAGTCTGATCTTGGAGAAACAGTTACAATAGAGCTGGGGAGATGGCACCTGGCTCTGAAAGACCCCGAAGTCTGGGCTCTCCTGGTGCTAACAGGGCAGGGCTTGTGGTGTTTACCTTTGGAAGGGATAGAGCTGGAGGGCCTGGGGCCTTTGGGCCTATTCCCTGGCATCCATCATGTCCCCAGGTACCCTGGATCCCACTGGACCCACTGGCTCCAGATCTGGCCCGGTACCCCAGTTACAGTCAGGCCCGGGCCCTTTGCTGCACGGTGCAGGCCGGTGAGATGCTCTACCTGCCGGCCCTGTGGTTCCACCACGTCCAGCAGTCCCATGGTTGCATTGCTGGTAAGGAGCTGCCCAGAGGGCAGCTGGGGGATGGGTTGGGGAGGCAGTAGGTTGGGGGGTACCTTCATGCTCAGGTCTCTATTTCCCCCACAGTGAACTACTGGTATGACATGGAGTATGACCTTAAGTACAGTTACTTCCAGCTGCTTGACTCCCTTACTAAGGCCTCCGGCCTCGACTGATGGAGCTCTGGTGAACATTGCCAATGACAATTGTGGGAAAGGTCGTGGCCCTCCCTGGCCAGGTCACTTCCAGAGGCAACCTGGAGTCAGAGGGTGCTGGCTGCCAGCCCAGCTTGCCTTGGGATCATCGCTGGGGAATTTGGGGCCAGACAGGTCTGGGTGTGGGCTCCCAGGAAGTTGCCACACTGGTGAGGCAGCAGCCTCTCCTGGAGGAGGAGTGGAGCTTCAGGTGCAGTGCTGCCTCTCACCAACACTGTGGCTTTGGGCGACTTGCCACCTTGGAGCACTGGTGTCCTGTCTGTAGAACAGAGAAAATGGTGGATCCTACCCCACGGTTGTGAGGCTTGGAGAAAGATCTTTAAGGACCATAAGGGCTGGCATGGAGGGAAATGTATAATAAAAGATGACTGTGATTCATGTGTGCTAAGACTCCTTCTCGAAGTTTCCTTCTGTGGTCTGGTGAGGGCTGGAAACATTTCAGTGTTCCTCTGATTGTGGCTGAGGCCTGGGTCCAGACCCAGGATTGAGGAGCTCTCTGCTGCTAAGACCCTGTATCTGTGAGAGCAATCGCAGCCCTTCCAGGCGGGCCCCACTGACTCGGCCCATACAGCTGTACCCAGCTTTGCTCTGGCCTTGTTTGCTGACCTCCAGCTCCAGGCAGCTGCTGGGGTCTGGTGCCCTGCTTCTCTCACAACAAGGACAGGTGGCTGTGGGGGTTGACAGAAACCCCTGCCCCTCACCTCCACAGGGGTCTCCACATTCAGACTCCCTCCCTCCCTGCACCAACCCAGACCTTCCTGAATGCCACCCGGAGGCCTCCTCATCCCAGCCACCCAGCTCCCAGGGTGGAGACAGCTGTGCACTTGGCTTGAGAGGGCTGTTTCACAGAACAAACCACACCCCTGCCAGGTTGTGATGGGCCTGGGGCACTCCCCTCAGATTGGCCAAGCACTTCAGTCAGGACTGGGCATTCCTGTCCTACTGGCACTGAAGGTTGTGAAAGACCCTGTGACAGGGGACAAGGTTCTTCCATTTGCTGCTTCCCTGGGCCCACTCCCTGCTCTCTAGATGTCATTGGCCCGTCTAGGTCCAGGCACAAGAGCAGGGCTGGGTGGAATAGGTGCTGCTGGCAACGGCTGGAGGGAATGGCTCTTTTCTGGGTGGTAGGCCCCCATCAGGGGGGTGTCTGGGTCTTCATATAGGTTTAAGGTTCCTCATTTACTCTGCAGGTGGCTTGTCCCGGAGTGGGTGTGAAGCTTGGGTGGAGTGGAGGCAGTTGGGAGGGACCAGGGAGGAGCTTGGGGCCTGCTGGTACATCACTGGCTCTGGATTAAAAAGCCCGCAGTCCTTGGTCCTGCACCCACTGCCTGCCATTTGTGGCTCTTGAGGACAATCAGCCTCATGGCTCTGGTAAGACCTGCTAGGCCGCTGGGCCCCCATTCTGACCCTTGATCACCCTGGGGCCTGGTTAATGTTATTTCTTTTTATTTTTTAAAGATTTGTTTATTTGAGAGAGCATCTGTGTGTGGGGTAGGGGACAGAGGGAGAGAATCCCAAACTGACTCCCCATTGAGCAGGGAGCCTGATATGGGGCTTGATTGCATGACCCTGAGATCATGCCTGAGCCGAAATCAAGAGTCAGATGCGTAACTGACTGAGCCACCCAGCCCCTGCCTGCCAAGTTAATACTATTTCTTAAGAGGAGCGATGAGTTTCTCCAGGTGTAGAGAGGAGAGCTGGCCATCACTGAATCAGAGTGGTGAGCAGTAACTAGGGAACAGGTGGGGTCTAGGGGTTAGGGGTTGTCTTGAGTTCTTGCCCTAGAGATGGGCTCCAGACAGAGTTCCCTGGCCCCATGGATTTGGGCCCTGGGAACTCAGGCTCCCAGAAAGTGGCTTCTCCAATGTTCTTGATTCAGTTGTGTGGAGTGTGGGGGCCCCCAGGGTAGACACTGATAGATGAATTTCCTCAGCTCTGTCCCTAGATTCCATCCATCAGGACCCTTTGGAGGCAGGGCTGAAGGCTAGAAAGAAAAGATTAGTTAATACAGGCTTCTCTGGCACACTTGCCATGGTTTATATCCCCAGACCCATGTTCGTGGGTTTGGTTGGATCCACCTAGGGACCCTCTTTAGCCTGACTTTATAGCACCTGAAGGACTTGAAAACCTGTGGGTGGTCTGAGCTGCTAATTACTGTTCCTACTCCCAAGTAGAGGGCCCGAATCCAGAACTGATTCCTGGCCAGGGGTCGGAGAGGCTGTCTAAAAACCAAGTCTGTGCTCTTCGCTCCTGCCTCTCCAAATAGTTTGCTTAACTGGAGCATGTCTCCATTTAAGCTGTTTAACCAGACAGCAGCCCCACCAAGGCACCCAAGGCCAGGCTGGGTCTTAACATGCCTCTTCTCTCTCTGTAGCCGTCTAATCCCCGAGGTGTCCTGCCACCCAAGACCCACCTCAAGACTGCTTAGCAAGGGTTAACTGGGGATGTGGGGTGGAAAGACTAAAAGATACCATAGCAAGAACTGGAAGTAGGTAAGGGTGGGATTAAGAGAGCATGAATCGAGCCAGCCTGGTCCAGTCCTGGCCCTGGACCTCAGGCAAGTGACTAGCCTTTCTGTGCTTCTGTTTCCTTGTGGGATCGCTCATAATAAGTAGTCCCTACACACAGGGTAGCTGTGTGACTAAACAAATTAATGTGTGTAAAGGCGTTCATTATTCCCTTGGACCAGAGCTGGCCCAAAGTGTTGTGTAAGTGTCGGCAGGATCATCAGGAGCTACCACAGCTGCCTTTCCATTCAGGATTCTGACGGGGTGGAGTGCAGCCAGGTGGCTGGCAGGGCTGGGCCCTTTGGTTCAGGATTATTCCTGGAGGGGTGACCCTGGCCTCTTCTTTGGCCTTTGTCCCTTTGGACTCAGCAGCCTGCAGCAGGCCTGTCCTCTCCCTCCTCTGCAGGCAAAGGTTCCTGGGACCTGCCTGCTCACCGTTCGTGTCCTACAGGCCCATGGCCTGCCCTCGAAGGACTTAGGTGAGTGCTGGGCCCAGGAAGGGCCGTGTAGCTAGGTTCAGAGTGGGAGAAGGGCAGTGGGAAGAGACACTAGGACTGGGCATGCAGGGGGTCCTGGAGAGGGGGCCAAGAGGAGGTGCTGGGTGGAATGTCTCCTAGCACCTCAGCCTTTGCTCCTCCTGCCTCCCAACTTGGCTCCATTGCACGGGTCTCTAAGTTGCACAGGGCTGCCTGTGATGGAAGGTCGTGGACACTGGCAGCTGGGCTGGGTAGGGCTCTTGGCCATCAGCAGCCATTTGTTCCTTCTTCCTGCAGTGACCCCCTCTGACTGCTACGTAAGCCTTTGGCTGCCCACAGCCTCTAGCCACAGGCTCCAGACTCGCACAGTCAAGAACTGCAGAAATCCCATCTGGAATCAGAGCTTTCGCTTTCGAATCCATAGCCAGCTCAAGGTGGGCCGGACGTCAGCCCCTGCCCTGCCCACTGCCCCTGCCAGCCCTCCTTCCCTGCTCTGGCTCTGCTCACCTTCCTTTTCCACTCCTCTGTCCTGCAGCCCCTTACTCTGTTCCCTTCCAGAATGTCTTACAGCTGCAAGTCTTTGACCAGGACCTTCTGACCAGTGATGACCCCATGTTGTCAGTGCTGTTTGACGTGGGGACTTTGCAGGCTGGGGAGTTCCGCCGAGAGAGCTTCTCATTGAACCCTCAGGCAAGGCTGTGCAACAGGGTAGCAGTGAGCCTGAACCCAGGGAGGGCAAATGCTTTGGAGTGGAGCTGGGTACATGGCCCTCTTCTGCAGTGTGTGGGCCAGGCTTCCCTGGCATCCCAGAGGCCCCTGCTGTCCTTAGAGGAACAGTGCCATCTCTGACCCTCTTTCTTGGCCCTTAAGCCAGTAACAGTTTTCTAGGAGCCACCCAGAGAAGGTGGACAGGGCACCCTGGAGGTGGCCATTGGCTCTCTCCACTTTCCCCAGGATGGCGTCTGCATTGGAACCTACACACACGTTCCTCACCCCTCTAACTTGCTGCTTTATCTCTCCAGGGCGAGGAGCGGCTAGAAGTTGAATTTTGGCTGCAGAGACTGTGAGTCGGGGCCATGGGGCAATTCCTTTTGGGGAATGCTTCCTTTGGTGGCAGTGCTTCTTTGGGGGAAGGACAGAGCCCAGTATACCCTGGGAGATATCCAGTATTGGTGGAGGAATGTCCTGTCGTCCTTGAGGGGTGAGAGCATGGAAAGCGGGACTTATACCGAGGGTCACTGGGGGCTGTTTCTAGGACAGACTGTGCCGAGCAGCTTGTCAGCAATGGCATCCTGGTGGTGAGTCCAGAACCCCTCCCTCCCACTCTCCTTCCTGGGCCTGAAGCCTGGGGCCCCATCGGGGATTCGGGAGTAGAGCTGAATTGGGGGCCCCTGGGATTTCAGTTCAAGAGGGTACAACCTCAAGCAAATGTTTGGTGACTCAGGGCCAATGTAATAAAGCGCTGAGGATCAAAACCAGGGTACTGTGGGTGGGTGGGGCTCTAACAGGGGAAGAGTGCGAGTCTGAGGGGCTTTCGTAATGACTCAGGCCCGGGAGCTCTCCTGCTTGCACGTTCGACTGGAGGAGGCAGGGAACCAGAAACGTAAGTCCCCAACCTACTAGGATAGCCCCCAGTCCTCCATCCTTGTCATCCCCTTCCTAAGGGGACCCTGGAAGGGACCTTAACATTAGCTGCCCTTTGCTGTCATAGGCAGCAGAAGTTGGGGCAAATCCATGCTGGGGCTCCATCTCTCGGCCTCGGCCCATGTCAGTCTTCCCTCTCAGTGGGCGGAGGAAAGTGCCCCCCAGACCCCTTATGCAAGACAGCCTTGGGCCTCTGTGGGCCAAGACCTTATGCCTAACCTTTCTGTTCCGGTTCCTGTTCCAGAGTCAGAGGGCAGAGTTCAACTTGTGGTTCCTGGGTCCTGTGAGGGTTCACAGGATGCCTCCGTGGGTGCTGGCTCCTTTTGCTTCCATTGCCCAGCCTGCTGGGAGCAGGAGCTGGGTATTCTTCTGCAGGTAGTGCGCTGCTCCCTCATATGAGGCAGAGCCTACAGGGTCTTTCTCCCTCCTTCCTTTCACACTTCCTCCTAGCTTGTCCCTCTCCTCGTGCTGAGTCCCTCGCCCCATCACTCTCTGGCAGAATCAGGCCTCCTGGATCAAAGGTAGGGTTAACGTTAGCCTCCTGTTTCCCTTCCTGCTGCTGCTTATTTCACTCCCATGGCTGAGGTCCTTGCTGGAACAGAAGGGTAGAGATTCTGAGGTCTTCTTTCATCCTCCCTGCAGGATGCCCCTCGCGAGCAACTGAAGGTGCCCCTCAGGGCCTTGCCCTCTGGCCAAGTGGTGAGGCTTGTCTTCCCTACATCCCAGGTACTTGATCACCCGGAGGAAGAATGTCAGAAGTGTGGGCAGGGCTAGGCCCTAGGCCTTGCAGGGCCAGCCTGCTTTGGTAGGAGCTTGGGTCTTTGGGCTAGGCTCTGGGGAGAGGGGTCCTCTGAGCAGCCCTGCCTTTGAGCCTCAGGCCTTGCCCCTGTGGAGATGGCTAGAGGCCCAAGGGAGTATGGGGGACATCATAGGGTGTGGCTTGGGATGAGATGAGAGGGACATGATGGCAGACTTCTGTGACTGAAGTGTTTATGGTTTCCAGGAGCCCCTGATGAGGGTGGAGCTGAGGAAAGAAGAAGGGTGAGAGCCGGCTGGGAGAGGGCAGGGAGGGAGGGAGCGGGCCACCACCTGTGCTTGAAGTTGAGGCACAGATAGGGCAAGGGAACTATCAGAGGAGAGAAATTGCGCTCCCTTTAGGTGGCAGTCATCGTGGGTGGGCCTTAGCTAACCTTCATGAGACGGGAGAGGAGTTGCCCACCCTTCACATGCCTGGGAGACCAGCTTCTCACCACAAAGAGGTGGGAGACAAGAGTTTCTTGTCTCCTCTGGAGTCGTTTTTGGGTGGGGGAAGACAGAAAAGCTCAGAGTGGGGAAGTAGATCTGTGGTGGTCAGACTCACCAAGGAGCCTACCTGGGACCCTGGAGGTGCATTTTTAGGCACCAGCATTTCTGGTCCTTGTTGCATTCCCAAGTGTTCCCACGTGGGTCTGGGTTCACCTTCTCCCCATTACATCCACACATGTCACACTTTGGTCCAGGCAGGAGTGAGGGGTGGGGAGAGGAGTGAGGGTTGACAGTGGGTTTCTCAGGGCAAGCAGACCCAGCTTCCTTTTCTGTGATGAGGCCAAGAGCTGCCTCATGATCCCTTCCTTCGTCCCAGACCGAGGGAGCTGGCCGTGCGTCTAGGCTGCGGACCGTGTGCCGAGGAGCAGGCCTTCCTGAGCCGGAGGAAGCGGGTGGTGGCCAGAGCCCTGAAGCAGGTCTTGCAGCTGGGTGAAGACCTGCAGGAGGACGAGGTCTGTGGACTGAACTGCACTGGATAGGCTTCCTCAGGCTTGCTCTAGCTGAATGATTGTATCTTCACCAGGCCAGAGCTTGGCCCTGCCTGCTGTCTCTCTGCCCCTGCTCCTCTTCCCTCTCACTTGATGTTTACAGGAGCCTGATGCCATCAAATGTAGAGCTTTGCACTAGGCACCTGGTGGTTGATTGTAAGCTCTGCCCCACCAGGCTGACTTTCCTTCTTGTTGTTTCTTGATTCTTGGCCTGGTCCATATTTTGGGACTTGGGTCCAACCTGACCGGTCCATGAGACATGCAGAGTGAGGGCTGCCCGCTGGCCCGGGGCAGTCCTTGGAGGTTCAGATCAGCCTGGGGAATTTCCTAAGGAAATGACTTCTCCTTTCAAGAGGAAAAAGGGTGGCTGTGTGGGAGACTTGAGGTGGCTGTGGGGCTTCCAGAAAGTGATCATGACACTCCTCAGGGGCTAGGGGCGAGGAGATGAGGCCTGTAACTTGCCCATTTTTCCTGGAGTGTTTAAAACCAGACAAGCCCCAACCCTTGAGAGGCTACTTCTGATTAGATCCTCCTCAGTAGGCCTGACAAGAACTGGTTCCAAGAGCCCTGACCAGGTCTTGATTGACGTGGCTGTTCTCGCTTTCAGATTCCAGTGGTAGCAGTTATGGCCACTGGCGGTGGCATCCGGGCAATGGTTTCCCTCTATGGACAGCTGGCTGGACTGAGGGAGCTGGGTCTCTTGGATTGCATCTCCTATATCACAGGGGCCTCAGGCTCCACCTGGTGAGCAGCAGGTTGGGTGCAGGAGTCCGGGGGTGGCAGTGGTAAGGCTCTTGTAGAATCCATAGGTGCCTCTGGCCCAGTTGGGAGAGCTGGGAGAAAGGGCGTGCCAGAGGGAGAGCCACTCAGTGGGACCATTGGAAGGTGCCTACTAGACTCTTGTCCTAGGACAGAGAGCCCATGGTTTGCTGTGACGCCCGGGCTCTGGCTTTTCTCAGGGCTTTGGCCAACCTCTACGAGGACCCGGAATGGTCTCAGAAAGACCTGGCAGGGCCGACCGAGTCACTGAAGACACAGGTGACCAAGAGCAAGTTGGGTGTACTCGCTCCCAGCCAGCTGCAGCGGTACCAGCGGGAGCTGGGGGAGCGTGCCCGCCTGGGCCATCCAGCCTGCTTCACCAACCTGTGGGCCCTCATCTGCGAGGCACTGCTGCACGATGAGGTGTGGGGACTGCTGGGCCAGGGTATGGTTTGGAGATGGGGAGCTGCCCTGGGCAGCAAGGAGGAAAGGTCTCAGATACCAGAAAGCCACAGCTTTAGGTTCAAATCCTCTCCTACCACCAGCCCCATAACCACACACTCTCAGACCAGCGAGAGGCCCTGAGTCACGGCCAGAACCCTCTGCCCATCTACTGTGCCCTTAATACCAAGGAGAAGAAGCTGAGCACCTTTGAATTTGGAGGTGAGTAGCCCTGGAGCTGAGAGCTGCGCTCTTGTGGCTGGTGGGGTGAGGGGGAGTGGGGCCTCTGTGGAGGAGGTGGGTGTTATACCCACTGCTTCTGGGCCAGGTCCCATGCTTTTCAGAGACTGTCATCCTACCAGAGTCACTCAGGCTTTGGGATGGGGTTGGGATCTATAGGTCCATGGTCAGGGTGACTGTGACCAGCCTGAGCCTCCGGTGGTGATAGAGGATCCTGGGGTTCTGAACCCCACAGTGAAGCTGTATGGTCTCCTCACAGAGTGGTGTGAGTTCTCCCCCTATGAGGTTGGCTTTCCCAAGTATGGTGCCTTCATCCCCTCTGAGCTCTTCGGCTCTGAGTTCTTCATGGGGCGCCTGACCAAGCGGCTTCCTGAGTCCCGAATCTGCTTCCTCGAAGGTGAGAGGGAGGAGCTTGGAAGGTTAGGGAAGCTAATGTAGTGGGGAGAATGGGCCTGGGGAAGACGGCAGGCCTCCACCTCTCAGCTCACGGGGACATGTCCTGGTCTAGGATGGGTTGTGGGAAAAGGTCAGATTGTGATGGGGTGGGGGACTCTCCCCCTTGTGTCCCCTCTGTTCCCCTTATGTTCCCTCTCTTAGGTATCTGGAGCAACCTATATGCAGCCAACCTCCAGGATAGTTTATACTGGGCCTCAGACCCCAGTCAGTTCTGGGACCGCTGGGCACAGGATCAGGCCAACCTGGGTAGGTGCCTGGGTTCCTTGTAAGGAGGTGCAGAGGCAGCCACTGGGGTGTCTGGGGGTGGTGGGATGGCCTTTGGCAGTCCACAGAAGCTGGAGTAAAAGTTCAGGGGTCCCCATTTCCTAAAAGATACTCCGCTTTCCCCTTTCTTGACTGTGCAGACAAGGAGCAGGTCCCTCTTCTAAAGATAGAAGAGCCTCCCACTGGGACTGGCAGGATTGTTGAGTTTTTCACTGACCTTCTGACGCGGCGCCCACTGGCCCAGGCCACCCACAATTTTCTGCATGGCCTCCATTTCCACAAGGACTACTTCCAACATCCTTACTTCTCTACCTGGAAAGGTATCTTTTTCTCTCCCTGGTCCCAGCACTCCAAGGTCTGCTTATGGCCACCTGAGCCTTAGATCCCTGGTCCAGACACCCAACCCCTGGGCCCTAAGCTCCTTTGAGTTTAGTTCACTGGGCTGCCTGGACTGGCAACCCTTTTCCTCTCCTTTTTATTGTGGATCAGGGCCCATCTGTGGGGTCTTGGGAAGTAGCAGGGCTACTTTGGCAGGAGAGATCAGGGACTAGAGGGCAGAGTTGGCTTCTGCCAGCGGCAAGGAGCTAGCATTAGGGTAGAGGGGTCTGTTGTGCTCCATACCAATGACAGCTGCTTTTCTACCCCACCCGCCTAACCTTTCCAGCCACCAAACTGGATGGGCTCCCCAACCAGCTGACACCTGCAGAGCCCCACCTTTGCCTGCTGGATGTTGGCTACCTTATCAACACCAGCTTCCCGCCCCTTCTGCGGCCCACACGGGATGTGGACCTCATCCTGTCGCTGGATTACAACCTCCAAGGAGCCTTTCAGGTGGATTAAGGGGCAGGCTTGGGAGGCAGTGGTGACACCAGCTGGGCCTGGCATCTTGGCTCTGGCTTTAGGGGAGATCTACCTTCGAGTCCAGTATGTGGTCCAGCATCCATTAGGGGCTGAGACAGTGACATCATGTGAATATGGATCCCATGAATTTACCACCAGGGGAACTTACTCTGCTCAGGAAGTTGAAGTGACAAGGGAGAGGTTTTCTTTTTTAAACTGTTAGCAAAATTTACTGTAATAAGACAAAGCATAAAAACCATGTTCTGATTATCACAATGACAACAATTTTGAGTTAGCCAAAAGGTAGAGTTCAGATTTCTGGTTCTTGATTTACACAGACATTAGATTTACTGTCATTACGAAATAGCTTTCCTGTGTCATTTACATTTAGGGACCAGCAATAATAGCATTTTATGGCTAAGACAATACCTGCACGTGCATGATTTTATCATCTCACAATAAATAAGGTTCTGAGTTAAGGTAGCTGGAAAGCAAAGCAATGAGTCCTAAGGGGTCCTGAAGGGCCTAATAACTGCAGATGGTCATAGATAATCCTGGAGAATATTCCATCAAGAGTGCTTGGGAGGAAGCCCGGGAGATGTAGCTGGTATAGCGTTTAGTCTTGCTTCCCAAACTGCTTCGGGGGGGGGGGGATGTTTTCTGTGTATTTTATACTTGGGGCACCTGTCCTCATTTGGGCCTCGGGAACCCTGTGCTGTGAGTTTTTGTGTTGGTCCAGTGAAGGTTGCTGTGGAAGCTGGAAGCCATCAGCAGCCCTGGGCCATGGAGCTCCCAGGAGCCGCAGCAGAGGGGTGGTCAGGGTCATGGCGCTTTCCCCGGCCTGGCCCTGGATGTGGACCTTGGTCAGATTTGGCAACCGGGCTCTAACTCCCAGGGGTCTCAGCCAGCCTCTGCATTCAGAGAGCCCCGTGGGCCCTGCCCCTGACGGCACTTGTGCCTGCCCTGCAGCAACTGCAGCTCCTGGGCCGGTGGTGCCAGGAGCAGGGCATCCCGTTCCCGCCCATCTCACCCAGCACTGGAGAGCAGCAGCAGCCAGGAGAGTGCCACTCGTTTTTGGACCCAGATTGCCCCGAGGCCCCAGCTGTGCTGCACTTCCCTCTGGTGGATGACTCCTTCCAGGAGTACTCGGCCCCTGGTGAGCCCCCCACCCCTCCTCCTGCTCCCCCCCACCTTCTGGCTGCCCCGTTGCCAAGCTCCCCACTTTCACCAGGCATCCGGCGGACACCAGAGGAAAAGGCGGCGGGGGAGGTGAACCTATCTTCCTCCGACTCCCCCTACCACTACTCCAAGGTGACCTACAGCCCAGAGGACACGGACAAGCTGCTGCGCCTGACCCACTATAACATCTGCAACAACCGGGAGCAGCTGCTAGAGGCCCTGCGTGCAGCTGTGCAGCGGAGGCGGCAGCGCAGGCAGCAGCAGCACCACCCCCAGTGAGGGCGCAGGAGGGCGGCTGGCCCGGGCTCCTACCGCCCCTCCCCTGCCACTTGGGTAGACTCACTCCCTGGCCCCCTGGCTCTTCTGGGTGAGTTGGGGCAGAGACAACTCGCCAGATCATCCAGAGCCTCTGGGGCCTGAGTGGCCCAGCCCCGGCCCTCTCATCCTCTGAATGGCTATGCCAGGGTCAGTGCCCAGCGCCACCCTGACAGGCCCCCACAGCCTTGCCACCTACACAGGCATGGGGGTTGAGGGCTTAACAGGGCTGGGCCTGGTCTCCTCAGGCCAGAGACGTGTCCTCTTCAAGCAAGAACATTCAGGGGTTCGGTGGTAGCGGGTTGTCATTGCTGTCAAGGAAGGACAGGTCACCCTGGGCTCTTGGTTACACATAATAAGGACTGGTTTGAAAAAACCTCCCCCCAGGCACCTTACAGAGCTAGCTAGCAGAGGGAGAACAGGCTGTGTATACCCCACTGGGGCTACACTCTCCAAGTAGGGAGGAGGCCAGTATGGCCTGGGGGGTGCTGCTGCTGGATCCTGGCCCTGTGCAGGTGACTGGATGCACAGGGAGTGGCGCCAGCACCCCTGTCCTTCTCCCTGTCAAAGGGCTGCTTCCTGTTCCACAGGAGGGGTGGGATCAGAGCAGCCAAAGGGACAAGCACCAATGGCTTAACTTCAGTAAGTTGTGATCTTGGTGAGGGCTGCCTCTTAACAAGGAACAGTCTATTCCAGAAGTTGGTCCTGAGTAGCTGGGTAGCAGAGCCTTGTTCTGGTTCTCTAGAGGTTGTCCTTGGTTGGTGCCAGCTCAGGATTTGCTTCAGGGCCTAGATCCGTTGGGGGTAACAGGAAGGCAGAGTGAACGCAGGGCCTGGCCTCCCTTCGAACATTCCACCTTCTTTTAATGTTGCTGTGCTACTTGGATACTGATTGCTGACAGGTAGCTGCAGGTCTGACTGGGGTGTGAAGAGGCTAGTGGGTGGGAGGAAACAGGTTCTTGTGACTCAACTCCCCCTACCTGTCTGCTCTGGCCCACCAATTCTTGGGCCCTGCCTTGGGCATGTGGCTAGCGTCACAGTGGAAGAAATGGCCGCCTTAGAAGCCACCATCCAGGATAAGTTAACAGGTCATCTGAATCCTAAAGTGGAGCCCGTGGGTCCTGTGCAGCAGGCTTGTGCAGCCGTGGCTGCCCTCAGGTGTGCTGCAAGGGCTCTGTCTGTGCCTGAGTCTGTGGGTGTGTGTCTGTGGGTGACAGCCTGATAGCTGGCCTGCTCTAGGACAGTAAATCTCCCCTTTCCCATTGGAGCAGGGGAAAGCAGGAGAGGTGGCGGGCAGAGGGCAGGTCAGAGGGGGCTGGCTTGCAACCTGTCTTCTGTCTTAGGAAGAAGAGGCCATGGAGTGAGTGACATGGGGAGACCGAGGGAGTCTGCACCTTGGGCCCGGCCTGGGCAGGAAAGGCATGAGGAGCCAGGGGCAGGTGCCTGGGTAGGGCCAGCAGCCGGCAGGAACTGCAAGGGTTGCAGCTGGCCATCGGCACTCACATGCATACCCCTCAGTGAGGAAGTCAGGGGACAGCCATGGAGCCTGTGGGAAAAGGGAGTCTCAGGACCTGGACACTGAGCAGGGGTTTGTACGCAGTGGGGGGGGGGGTGCTAGGATTTTCTATTGCTGAGGGTCTCCATTATGGGGATTACCCCATACCCTAGCAGCATAGGTCTGAGGCTCCAGATCTTGGCTTAAGACAGCAGCAGCTATATCAGTCCTGGGGGCTCAGGACTCCCCCCCCCGCCCCCACATACCCAGGTGCCCTACCTGAGCGGAGCAGCGGGGCTGGACACCGTCTCAGCAGTGTGCTCAGCTGGGAAGCCCACAGGTCTGGCTCTGAGCTCCAGGCTCAGACTCTGGGCTGCAGAGCAAAGGGAGCTCAGTGGTCAGCCCTGGTGCAGGTGCTAGGCCCTCTGAAGACAGCAGCCTCCTTGCATGTTTGTGTCTTCCCTCAAATGCATATGTTGAAATCCTAACCCCGAGGTGATGGGGTCAGGAGGGTGGAGTCCTTACAAAAAGGATCCCAGAGAACAACTTGACTGCTTCCACCAAGTGAGGACACAGTAAGCAGGTGTCACGCACAACTCAGACTTACCAGACACCCCATCTGCTGGTGCCTTGATGTTGGACTTGCCAGGCTCTAGCACTGTAAAAATAAATGGTTCTGGTCTATAACCTACCCAGTCTGATATTTTTATTAAAAGTGGCCCAAACAGGGATCCCTGGGTGGCTCAGCGGTTTGGCTCCTGCCTTTGGCCCACGGCGCAATCCTGGAGACCCGGGATCGAATCCCACATCGGGCTCCCGGTGCATGGAGCCTGCTTCTCCCTCTGCCTGTGTCTCTGCCTCTCTCTCTCTGTGTGACTATCATAAATAAATAAAAATTAAAAAAAAAAAAGCGGCCCAAACACAGATGTGCCCACCACAGGAGACTCTGTATGCACCAAGCCTTGCCTGTGCGGAGGTGTGACACAGGCCCAGCCCCCAGGCAGGCCCCCCAGTGCACCCTGCCTCCTAGAAGTCTGAATGCAGGCTAAGAAAGGCTCAGTCTGGAGGAGATCCCGAAGAAATTCAGATCCCTTTGGGATTCTGGAAGGACAGGCTCAGAGGGGACCAGAGACAGTGCAAGGAATGGAGCCAAGAACCCAGAGAGACTGGGAGGAACAGGAAAGGACTCCCACCTGGGCTCCCGGCAGCCTGAGGACATGACCTGAACATGCTGTTCAGGTGGAGCCTGTCCGACCACACCGACAGATACCTGGTGCAGGGGTGCTTCCCAGGCATCCCTCCTGATAGAACTGGGTTTGACCACTGTCCACAAGATACCCAAGGGCAGTGCATTCAGAACTTTTTGAGGACTGGAAGGTTAGAGAAGGTCCCAGGGTTACAGAACAAAGCCTAGGAGCACTCAGGGGAGTCACAGAGACAGACTCCAAAGGGACCAGGCAGCAGCTGGGGGCAAGCCTGGCCCTACCTCTGGTACTAATTAGATGAGCCGTGTGATCTATGGCAAGTGGTTTACCCTTTCTGGGCCTTAAATTCTTTGAGAAGACACTAAGTCCCAACTACACCTCAGGCTCTAGAGGTACTAGATGCGAGATTGCTGAGGGTGTGTGAAACAGCGGCTTGGGGCCCAGGGGCTCACACCCAAGTCCCTCCCTAGGTTCCGGTGGCGCCTACCAGCTGTGCGGCTCAGGACACGGTGCCGGCTCTCAGCCTGCCCTTCTGATGGTGCTGCAAGCAGGGTTTCCACCTCGCTGCTCAACCTGCCACCCAGATAGCCACGGGTCAAATCTCTGCACTTCCCACATGGGTGAACCCCTGCATCCAGCCCCATCCAGGTGGCTGCTTCTGGGAGGCTGTGCCTACTGGGTCAGTATGTCCTGGGGCTATTGCCTCCCTCTGCAGTAGCACTCACTTTAAGGAGAAAGTGGGTTTCCTGCCATGCTGGTGGCCCAGCCTCTCACACTGGGCTTCTCTGAGGTCAAGGGTGGCCACTGGGGCCATATTCTGAGAAGAGATGAGCAAGGGGTTACTATGAACATGTCCGCTCTTCTCTGTGGGCCTGTGCTCAGCCGCCCCCCCCCCCTCCATATTCCACTGCCTAGTACCTCTGCTGCTGTCTTCTTGTCCCAGAGGAGGCTCAGGGAGCTAACCCCCAAGGTGCCATGGCAGCCATCCCCGGAGCTTGAGCAGGGCTGTGGAGAGAGGGCAGTGAGGCTGCACCAGCTAGGCATGGAGGGGAGGCTGCAGCCTGGCCTTGGGAAGGCCTGTGTCTTGAGAGGCTCTCAGGCCAAGTCCTGGGTTGGACAGAGGTGTCCACGGGGAAGAGGGAGCCAGGGGATGATGTGCGGGGAGACCAGCAAGAGGAGGAAGAGGGCCTTCACCCTCCCCCCACCCTACTTGGGTTGGGGGCAGAAGCTGTGTGGTAGGTAAAGAATGAAACTATCTTGAGGCGCCTGGCTGGCTCGGTCAGTAGAATCTGTGACTCCTGATCTCGGGGTTGTGAGTTCAAGCCCTACATTGAGGGGTAGAGATTACTTAAAGAAAAAAGGAGACTGTCTTAAGAATGGCTGGGGGTGGGGGGGCTATCCATCATCACGTCAGGATGCCAGGCCCTGATAGTCCCTCTGAGCTGAGTGGTTCTGTGGAGGAGAGGTGCCTGGAGAAGGAATCTCCTCATACTTACCTGCCTCCCTGCAGGCAGGAGCTGCTGCTTGAGCTCCAAAAATCCCTCCGTGGTGAAGGCACCCTTTGTATCCTGCAAGTGCCAGATGGGGCCCAGGAAACATCCAGCAACAGAGGACAGGCCCCCTCTGGAAGGTGCGCTAGGAATCTACCCCTCTCCAACCACTTCATTCCTGAGGACTCTCAGTTCCTATCCCTAGTGCCCCAAACCCCCAGGGCCTCAGTGCTGGCTCCAGGGTGTGGGCCTTACCCCCATGGCCCTGGCACCCCTGGGCTCCTGCTGCCTGGCTGCCCGCTCCAGGGAGACAGTGGTGGCAGAGGGTATGTGTGGGCTGACAGGGCCACCTGGCTGCAGGTCCCTTGTCTCAGCCAGCTGTACTCCTGGCCACCAGCTTCTGAAGGGCCTCTGCTGGAGGGAGGTGAGCCCATGGCCAGCATTGCTGGGTGTCAACCCTGTCCCCGGCTGCAGCAGCTTCTGTTCCACCTTGGAGAGGGGAGGAAGGTGAGCCAGGGCAGGGCTCCATGCCCCTGCCTCTCCTCTCCAAAGCCCTTCCACCCGGAGAGAATCCCTGTCTCCTCATTGCTCTTTATCTCCTCCTACTTCAGCTTGCTTAAGAGACTTCCCCTGTCATCCTAGTCCATAGTGGGGCTCTGGCCTACCTGGACAAGGGGGGGGGATAGGCCCCAGCAGCTTTGCCAGGCAAAGAACAGGGCTCTCCTGAGGGGTCACACATGGGCTCCATGTACTGGGGAGGCCCCAGTCTCAGGTTGAGACCAGGATGCTCCCACCCCCAGCCCTCGGGCCCCTCGCCGCTAGGGAATCCTCCTCCGGCCTCTGCTCACTCCCGTCTTTCTCTGCAGTTGGGCAAACTTCTCTTCCTGGACTGCCAGCAACTTTTCTAAGTCCTGGTGTCTGCTGAGCAGCAACTCCACATCAGGCACAGAGTGCTGCGGGGAAGCAAAGCCAGGGTGAGGCCCAGCTCCATGGGGGTGTGGAGAGCCTCCCCATCCTGGTCCCCAACCCGCTTAGCTGGTCAGACAGCAGAGGAGTAACAGGATCTACCCTCGGCTGCAGCTGCGGGCTGGTACAGCTGGCTAATGGCGGGCGGGGGGTGGGGTGGGGGGCGGCGGGGTTTGGCTCACCCCGCAGTTGGGGTCCAGCAGTAGACCCTCCCGGGAGGCCAGCCAGGCCTCAGCTTGGTCCAGCTCCTGTCGCAGCTTCTGCAGGCCCCAGTTCTCCTCGCAGCGCTCCCGGCGTAGGATGCAGGCCTCTGTGAGTGCCTGCAGCTGCCCTTCTAGCTCCTGCAGACACCCTGCCACCTGGTGGAAAGGGGTGCTATGGGTCACATGCATGAGCAGGAGCACTGAGGCAGGGCAGGGCTGGAGTGCCCAGCAGAGGGGTCCAGGGAAGGCCCAGGCCCTTCCTTTCTCTGCTTCTCTGTCTCTGCTCCTTGCCGGCCTGCCACTGAGGGTTTCTGTGTTCTGAGGCCTTGGGTAGCTGAGCTCCATCCCCAGCTCAACCCCAGGTCCACTTTCGTGCTCGTACCTCCAGGGACATGAAGTGGCCACTGTCTATCAGCTGCTGCCCTTCTTTCTGTACATCCTGGGCTTGTAGGCAGTGCTCCTTGATTTCTCGCCCCAGCTCGTCATGCTGGGCCAGGAGCCGCTCGGCTCCCACCAGGTCCCCGGCCAGCTCCTCGGACGAAACCACAGCTTGCTTCTCCTGAGCCCATGTTCTGGGGACGGAGACAAAACTGCCGTCAGGGTGGGGGTGGGGAGCAGCCTTGGGAGGTGGGGCATGAGATGTGCACAGGGAAGGGGGGTCAGGCTTCCGATGTGCTGGGGTGACCCCCACCCCACAGGGTGGAGCTGAGCCAACGCCAGGGCAGGAGGCCACCTACAGCAGTTCCCTGCAGCGACCGAGGAAGGCGTGGCCCCGGGCAGCCTGCTCCAGCTTCTGGCCCTGCTCCCGGGCCTTCACCTCCAGGGTGGCCCAGGCCTCCTCCACCCTAGCCAGCTGCTCAGACAGGCCATCCTGAGCCATGGGGTGTAGCTGGCCCAACCGGCAGGCCTCCATCCGCACCCGTGCCACCTCCTTCTCCATTGCCGCCAGTTCCCTCTGCCACCAGAACACACAATCAGGTCTCACCCCCGTCAACCTGACACATACCCCTCATTTGGGAGCATCCAGTCCTCTCTGAGGGGTTCTGATCTGTTTCCCAGAATTTCCCAAGCCAACTCCACTGCTCCACGGCCTGGACCAGCCCTACCTGGCTGGGGTGGGGCGGGGCGGGGGGTGGTGGTGGTGCTACCTACCACCTGCAGGGAGGGGCTCCGACAGGCAGACCATGGGGTATGAGCCCTCACCTCCAGGCACCTGTGCTGTTGCTCCAAGGTCTGCACTGATGACGGGCTGTGGCCACAGACGTCTCTCGCCATCAGGGTGGCCTTCTCCTGCATCCAGCTCTGGAGCCAGGCCACTGCTTGCTCAAAACCACGGACCTCCCGGGCTGTGGCCAGGCTCTGGGAGAGGGGGGAGGGCCTGCTCTGGGTTGAGCTCATTCCTAGGGTCCTTTCTCCCTGGAGACATGACCTTGTGGGCCACCTCCTTTTAAATAACGAGGACCGTGGGGCTCAGTGACTTGGTAGTGACCAGCAGGTACATAAAATGCGCCAGGTGTGGCAGGTGCTTCTGAATGTGGGATGTTACTGATGATGCAGTAGGGCCTCAGGGGGGCATTCTGTGATGAGAGTCTTTGATGTGTGAGTCTCGAGAAAAGCAGAAAGGAGGCGATGAAGCAGCAGGGGAGGGGCCCACGTGAGGGAAGAGTTGGGTTTGGGTGGGTTCAGGAGGCTGCCTACGAGGCCAGGGGCTCAGGGAGCAGCCTGCTTTAACAGAAACCAGCAAAGGGCTGCGAACACAGGCTGTGGAGCAGCACTGAAGCCACCCGCGCAGGGCCCGGGGTTAGAAGAGCGAGGCAGTGGCGTGAAGGAGCCGGTTAAGCGAGTGGGGTCGAGGAGAGGTGAACAGGGTGGATCTTAAAACCCGAGGCCTGTATTTAGGGGAGGCTTCGAGGGGCTCAGAAGCTGGCCAGACATGCTTCCTGTTTCTCCCTGGAGGTGCGAACTGCACCAGCAGGAATCCAAACTGGAGGAGAGGGCTGAGGTGGGGTGGAAGTGCAAGGTGTTGAGACTGCCCACTTGCTCCATGCTGGGAATTAGAGGCAGCCATCTCCCCCTGCGCGCATGCGTGTACACACACACACACACACACACACACACACACACAACCGGCGTGTCTGCTTGTCCTGGACCCAGGCAGAAGGCAGAGCTGTTCCAGCCCCTGGGCTGCCCCGGCCTGGCCTGGGGGCATTTACCTGTGTGCGGGCTTTCATTGCCCTGTCCAGTCTCTCCCAAGTGGCCTCGATGCGACTCCTCTGGGCTTGGATCTGGGGACTGTACTTGTGTGCCATCCGTTCCAGGGAGCCCGCCAGCTCCCTCAGGGCCTCCACCTTGGCCAGGCCCAGGCTCTGAACTTCCTTTCTGAAAGCCTCAAATTTCTTTTCCAGCATCTGCGAGGATACAGGGCCAGCGAGGGGCACTCTGGCGGTGGAGTCCCGCAGCTCGTGCTCACGCACGCTGTACCTGACAGTCCCCTGGTCCCTGACAGTCCCCTGGTCCGTACTGGATGAGGTCCTGGGCTCGGTCTCCATACCGCAGGGACCCACCCAGAGCCCCCTACTTCCCTTCTGCTCACCCCCTCACCTCCTCCCGCCCGGGGCCGCACACTTCCTTTGCTCCTTTCAGCCGCAGTCCACTCTTCCCCAGGTTCACCCAGGGGAGACTCACCTCCACAGCTTCCAGGTCCTGCCCATGGTCCTGGGACTCGGCGGCGGCCACCTTGCCGGCCAGCCAGGTTTCGAGAAGCCGGGCCTCCCGCTCCACGCGGTGGAACTGCAGCTGTTCCCGCCAGCCCCGGGCTCGGCCTTCCGCCGTCCGCAGCAGCCCCGAATGGGCCTCCCCCACTGCCCGCAGCCGGGCCAGCACCTGGGCGCTGTGGCAGGAAGGACAACCGAGCCGCCGCCCTTCTCCGCTAGGCCGGACAGCCCCGCCTCTGTGGGGAGAGCCCGCCCGCGCCTCGCACCCACCTCCCGGGGAGCTGCCTGCCCTCGAGGAGGGTGGCCCTCTGCTGCAGGCTCTCGATGCGCGGGCCGAATGCCTCTAGGTGTCCCCTGGTGGCCTCCAGCCGCCGCAGGGAGGCGCGCACGGCCTCAGCACTCTGGGCCCCATCCCTGATGTCCAGCGCACAGCCCTGTTCCTGCAGCCAGGACTCCGCCTCCAGGAGCTGGGGGGGCAGAGCAGACAGTCTTCCCTGGGAGGAGGCCTCCAGGGCTCCCGCTCGGAGGTGGTGGCCGCGAGCGGGGAGCAGGGGTTTCCGCCGTGGCCGAGCTCGGGAGCCCCCCGGGGAGCTTTCTCGCTCCCTGTGCCTGGCTCTCCGCCCTACGGGCTCTGGCCTGGCCTGGACTGGAAAGGGAGTATCAGCATTTCCAGAAAGTTCCAGGTCATCGGGAACGTGATGATTGACAACCACCGGTTTAGAAGAAGGAAAGGAAAACAAAAGAATACTGACCCCAGGGAGGGGCCGTGCTCCCTGGCGGGAGAGCTCGGGGCAGAGCGCACAGAGCTGGGGGCCCTCGTCCTCTGCCGAGCCCCGCGTCCCCTCCCGCCCCTCACCTCCATCAGGAACTGCTGGGCCTCCTGAGCCTGCTGCAGCCGCCGCCACCTCTGTGCCACCTCGGCCCGCAGGCAGCCCAGGGCGCCCTCCAGCTGCTGCGCGCGGGCAGCCACGGTGCGGCCGGCACCCGCCTCCACAAGCCGGCGGCCCGTGTCCACCACGGCCTGGGCCAGGGCCTCGTGGCTGCTCAGCTCACGCTCCAGGTTCTGCAGCGGCGGAGGAAGACAGGGCCGGGGATGCCAGCGGCCTCCCGGGGGCACGGCGCCTCCAGCACCACTGGCTCACAGAGCCTCGTGCTCAACCTGAGGCTCCCCAGCCCCTGCTCCCCATTGGAGGCGGGAGGGTCCACACCTGGTGCTTCTCCTGCAGGCGGCGCACGGCGCTCAGGCTCTGCCCGCAGTCCCGGGCCGTGGCCAGGGGCAGCTTCTCCTGCACCCACGCCAGCTCCTCATCGGCGTCCCTGAAGAACTGCAGGACGAGGTTCCGGGCCTCCAGGGCTGCTCTGCGCTCCCGCAGGGGCGCCCGCAGGCCCTCAAACCTGCAGCAGTGGAGGGTGGGACCAGGGCAGGCGCCCCGGGCCATCAGCCATCGGTGTCAGGCCCGGAGCTCACCTGCTGGGTGCCCCTCATCCTGAGGGAAGGGGGAGCCCTGAGGACACAAGCTGGAGAGCGGGGAGGAAGAGGGCAAGGGGGATACACAGGGGCAGATCTACCTGTGAAGCAGCCGCCGGGCCTGGTCCTCCACATCCTGGGCAAGGCAGCGGCCTTCCCCTGTAAGGACCTGGGCCTGGCCCAGCAGCAACTGTGCCTGCCCGGCCTGCCGGTCCACCGCTGCCTCCAGCTCCCCCTGGGCCCCCATGAGCTCGTCCAGCTCAGGCTGGGCCTGGTCCCCGATGGGGGCTCTCAGCTTGATCTCCACAGGCTCCAGCCAGCTCTCTAGGTCCTCCACACTCCGCCGGAGACGCAGAGCCTGGGGCAGAATGTGAGGTGGGCACCAAGGAGAGGCCCAGCACCGCCTCCAGCCTGCTCCATGGCACACAGAACCCACCTTGCAAGCCTCTTGTAGCGCAGCTGCCTTCCTCCTGCTATTGGCCTGCAGCTCGTCCCAGAGCTCTCCCAGCTCCCGCAGCTGCTCCTGGATGGTCTCTGAGGCTGGGTGGCCCTCCTGCAGCAGCCTCTGCCCCTCCTACAGCAAATACTGTGCAATGGACTCAGGACTGCTGGTGCCAGGGGACTAGTGTCGGCTCTGCCCACCAGCCTGTGTGCTAGCTGTGTGACCTCAAATTCTTTAACCTCTCTGAGCTCATTTTCCTTATCTATATAATGGAGTGAACAATGGTTCTTTAGTTTAAATGAGATAAAACATTAACAATTTTTTAGGGACGCCTGGGTGGCCCAGTTGCTTAAGTATCTGCCTTCAGCTCCAGTCACGATCCCAGGGTCCTGGGATTGAGCCCCATGTTGGGCTCCTTGCTCAGTGGGGAGTCTGCTTTTACTGCTCCTTCTCCCTCTCCATCTTGCTTGTTCTGTCTCTCAAATAAAATCTTAAAAAGAAATTTTTTTTTTTCAGAACAATTTATATTGGAGCCAGCCTGGGGTCAGGACCTGCCCTTTGTAGGTAGGAGAGGGTAAATTTAAAAGATGTGACATTTTGACTCCTTTACCCACAGGACTGCTAGCTATGCCCTCCTCCATCCCCTAATATCTTTCCAAGATGGCTTTAAAAGCTATCCGTCAAAATGTCATCTTTAAGATTCTTGAAAAGGTACTGTTTTTGGAGAGGGTCCCCAGGAAAGCTACTGCTTCTCACTACCCTTGGGTGCTTAGCATGGTGCCTGTATACAGAAGGTACTCAGTGAATGTTGGCCATCCATTACTAGGGCTCTGCGGGGTCTCCCCATGCTCTGGCCTGCAGGACTGTCCCACAGGCCCGAGGGGCTCACCATCTGCAGCCTTTGTTGTTTGTGGACACTTGCATCTAGCTCAGCCTGGAGACTTTGCTGCTTCCACAGCTGGGCCTGCAGCAGAGCTGGGTCCCTCCAGCCCTCTTCCAGGGCCACTGAGTTCTTCTCCCTCAGCCACATGGCCACCTGGATGTATGCAGAGGACCAGGCTTGGCTACCTCAGGGCCTCCCATTCCCCCAAACCCCTGGGCTGCCCGGAGCAAGGGTGGCCCCGTCAGGAGCAGATCCTTTCCCGCCACAACCACTACCCACACCCTGAGCCAAGGGGAACCTCAAAGGATTCTTGCAGGAGAGTCTGCAGCTGCCGGAGCTCTTCCAGCTGACAGCGGCGGGTCCCGGCTCCTTCCACCAGTGCCTCTTTCCTGCCAGAAGGAGGGGCTCATGGGCCCTCAGTTCCCCCCACTGGACCTGGGGCTGCTCCAGGGGGTGTGCATGTGTGTGCCCTTCCAGCCGGCAACGGCCCTTCTGCATCAGCACACCCTGAGTCTGGGGGTCCCTTTGAACTGGAGAGACATTCTACTCCCCCTTGTCACTAGTGCCTGTGATGGGCTGAACTCTGTCCCCCCATCCTTATGTCGAATCTGCCTCCACAGTACCTCACAATGTGACTGTATTTGAAGACAGGGTTTTAAAGAATTCAGTTTAAAAAGGATCATGAGGGTACATCTTAACGTGCTCCAGCAGGTGGCACACACCCAGGGACAGCCATGTGAAGAAGGAAAAAGACGGCCGTCTGCTGGCCAGGGAGAGAGGCCTTGGGACAAACCAACCCTGCCGATATCTTGATTGAGGACTTTTGGTCTCCGGAACTGTGAGGGAATACATTTCTGGTGTCGGAGCCACCCATCTGTGGTACTTTGCTGTGGCAGCGCTCACCAACTAGTACAGCATCTAAACCCACTTCTTTGATCACATGCTGCTATTAGGAAGAACTTCGAGCAGTGTCCACTCAAAACACACACGTATTTTTGTGTGGTGTCTACTGATTTGTATATGCGCCTACCTCTGTACCACTGTATCAGGTACGTTGCCATATGCACAAAAATAGAAATTAGAAATGTGATCTAAAAAATAAATAAATAGGAAAAAATCACCTACACTGCCCGCATCTATACAGTTTCCACACCGGTGTGAGTGGAAACCCTTGCTGGGGTGACCAAACGGTGTGGGGGGGAGGAGGAGATGCAGAGAGGCTTGATGGAAAGGGAACCCCCTTGCCCCGCCCCCCACAGAGGATGCCAGAAGCCAGCAGGGAGGGCTCAACGTGGCACCATGCTCAGGGACAGCCAGGCTGGCCACCAACCACTTAAGGTGATTGGGGGTCAGGCAAGGAGGGTGTGATGGAATCCAGCAAACCAACATTTGTCATCTGTCCCCCCACAGGCCTCCTGGTGGCCAGGTGGGGTCCCACGTGCAGAAAATAGGAGGGAATGGCCCCACCCTGCCCCGGCCACGGTGCCCACACAAGGACACTGATGGGCTCTCTGGGGAAGACAGGGACCCCCGCCAGTCTGAGACCCGGCTTTTGGCTAAATCTGCCTTGGTAAGAGCCTGAGAAGAGCTGGGGGAGGCAGCTGAACCAGATGGGCTTTTATGAGGAAAAAAGGCAGAGCCTGGTATCTCGTAAGCTGTGCCAGCTTCATTTAAACGAGCATGAGAAATGTGCTAAGACATTAAGGGTACCTTCTCAATCCTCCCCACTACCCGAGGAGGCAGGTATTGTTACCTCCTCCTTGTAGACCTGGCATTTGAGAGGCATCTGCCCCAAGTCCCACCATGAGTGGCCAGCCGCTGTGCTCTGGCACCGTCATTCCACTAGGTCACCTCTCCTTCACTTTGCTGGTAGACGCTGTGCTGGGCAGGGGTGCTGGGGTTTTGGCACTGACCTCAGCCCTCGGAAAGGCTGGTGAGTGTGGCCATCCCGCCCACAGCCCAGAGCCAGAGGTACCTGAGGAGCATGGCCTGGCACCGACCCAGGGCACCCTGGGCATCAGGGTGCCCACTCTGGTGCAGGCTGCGGGCTGCGGCCTCCAGGGTGCTGATCTTTTCAGCCTGTGCCTCCAGGTCCCGCTCGAGCCCTTTGTGCTTCCACAGGAGGGTCTCCACATTGGCCAAAGAGTCCTGGCAGGAGTAGGGAAGCCGATATGTCCACAGGGCTGCCCCTCCCATCCCAGGCTATCTGCTCGCCCTGCCGAACAGCTGTGCCACCACTCACTCACCCACATGGTGAGTGCTCTGCCCAAACACATCCCTCTAGTTTCTCAGGGCTGCACTTGGCTTCAGGACAGTGATCTTAGCCAGGGAAGGTACTGGGGATAAGGGTCAATGTCAGAATGTTCAAGGCAGGTGGAGCTTTTTCACATAATAGGACTACCCCCTCCTCTGCATTCCGGTCAGACTGCGTCAGCACAGGTCGAGCCAGCCCCCGCTTTCTCTGAGGTCTCCCCTGAGTTAGGCTAGCCTGCCACTGGGTTGGGAAAGTGGTTGGAGCAAACCTCCGTGCAGGGAAGTGAGGAACACAGAGGTGGGAAGTTGTGGGAAGGAGGCAAGGGGGGGTCAAAGGCCACGCACACCCCCCTAAGCCCCCGGGACATCCCCTGTGGGGCCCAGCCCTGGGTGCACAAGAGCCACCTGTGGACGGCTGAGAGACCAGTGACCGATGTAGTAGAGGGCAGGGAGAGCCTCCTGGGTCGGGGGAGCCCAGGCAGCGCTGGTTGCTGCTTTTGTAAAACCCTCATCGGCACCTACCCCCAGACCGTCGCCAGCTGGGCAGGCCTCCTGGCTGCAGAGCCAGCTTTCCATCTGCTCCACAGAACTCAGAACCAGCTGTCAAGAAAGGAAAAGGCAGAGGACATGAGCGGAGGGTCCCGTCGCTGCAGGTGGAGTGACTGTTGGGTCCAGAGGAGAAACCGGAGACCGAGACACCTGGCTCTAGAGGATGAGCCCGCAGCGGGCAAGACTTGCTGCGGACAGGCTGAGCGGTGGGCAAACCCCGAGACGGCAGCCTCCCTGGGTTTAGCGGTGGGGTTAGGATGGGGGCAGGATGAGGCTGCCTGCCTGGAGCTCCAGGTCCTGCTGCAGCTGACGCTGGTGCAACCGCCAGGCGCCCTCCAGGCTGTTCAGCTCCTGGTCTAAAGCAGCCAGGGCCTGGCGCGTGGCGGCGGCGGACGGGAGCCTGGCTGCGAGCAGTTGCTGCCCGGTGCTTCGCGCCAGGCTGATGCTGTCTGCTCGGGAGTCCAGCTCGGCCTGGAACAAGGCTGGCCTCAGATCCCCGGGGCTGAGGCTCCTCAGGGACAGGAGGCACAGCGGGAGGGGGAACAGAGACAAATGGGGGGCGGAGGCAGAGGAGAAAGGCGCCCAGGGATCCCTGGGCTCACCTAGGGGGCAGCGCAGAGAGGAGGCGAGGCCCCAGGGGCCCAGCCCTCACCTTGAGCTCCTGATGCTCCTCCAACCTGCGCTGGGCCTCCGCGGGGTTTCGGGGGGCGCTCCGGGTGTCCATCTCCACCCGTAGCTTCCGCGCCCACACCAACAAGTGCTGCAGCATGGCCTGCAGGGTCTGAACTCGGTGCAAGGCGTCCAGTGACTCCCTCCTGCCCAAAGGGTTCATCAGCTGGTCCTAGGGGCTCTGAGACCATCCTCTTGCCCACCCCCAACCAGTGCTTTCTGTCCCTGAACCCCCTTAGCCAAAGAAGGGCCTCTGGGCTGGGAATTAATAGCTGGATAATACCAACGGTTATTCGAAGGATGGAGAAAGGCTCTCAGGGGAAACTGGGGTCAAAGGGAAGTGCAGAGACTGAGACGCCACAGGGATGGAGTCTGTGAAGGCAGGGAGGGAAGGAGGCCCAGGGGTTCCTACCGCTTCTGGGCCTCCCTCCAGAGTTGCCACCAACTGTCCATCATCTCCCGCTGCTTGGGGCTGAGGCTGTTGGCTGCTCCAGGGCTCTGCTGGCAGACGCGGCCCACCTCTCGCTCCAGGGGCTGTGGGAAGGAGGCAGGTTGTATGTACTCAGGGGGGCCAGGGCTGCAGGAGGGCCCCTGGCCTGTGAGGGGCTGTACTGCAGGATGGGCCCTGCGGCTCTCGAGATCACAAGGCCGGCCTGCCCTATGTGCCTGCCCGGGGACCCCAGAGGAGGCATCATGGGCAGGGCCCACCTCCACACCCAGCTGCACACCTCCACCTGGGCCTGGAGGAGGCCCATGTCCCGCTCCAACTCCTTGTGTTTCCGTATCTGCCTCTGCACGCTCTCCAGATCTTTCCCATGGTCCAGGGCCTGGACCAGGGCAGCCTGGGAAAGAATGCGGCATTACTGGCTTTGCCTTTGCCCCCACTCCTCCCTCACTGCAGAGGAATCACCAGCCACTGGTTTCTGTGTGAGAAGCACGTACCCCCACCTGATTCCCTTCCCCATGCCCCCCACCAACCACAGGCTCCTTCCTTCTGTGAAGGAGGAAGATTCCCAGGAGAGCCTGGGGACAGAGTTTCTTCTCACACAGTGATCTGTTTGTGTGGTGCCTCCACACACCTCGTCTGGTCTGTCTCTTACTCCTCTGGGGGGAACCGAGCATTGACAGCCAAGCCTCTGGCTGCAGCAGGAACCAGAGGAGTGAAAACAGTGAGGCCACAGCCCCCTGCATGGCCAGAACAGGGCCCTGTCTGTGTCATGCGGGACTTCTTGGGGGGCAGTTTCTTCACTTCTACCTCTGCCAGCACGTTTCTCTGTGGTTGCTGACATGGTCCAGGGCAAGCCTCCTGTGTGCTCTGGGCTTGCTCAGGGACAATGGAGGGAAGCGTGCTTGGGGGAACAGTGCTCTGGCCTCTGGCTGGGTGTTTCTGGAAGCCAGGTGGGTCAGCCTCCAAGCCTGGCATGGGGGCTTCTGGGATATCAAAGCTGATATCCTGAGAGCCCCTGGCAGATCCCTCTCCCCAGCTCTGAAGGACCCCCTAGTGGCATCTATCTTCAGTCCCCCAGCTGAGGAGGAGAGGAGGCCTAGGGGCAAGACACCTGGGAAACTCAGGGTGAGGGCACCCAGCTGGCCGTTACGGCCTTTCACTGCTTACCTTCTCCCTAAGCCGCTCAGTGAGCTCATCCAGTTTTCGGGACAATATATGCATCTCCAGGGCTCCCTCAAGCTGCTGCCGGTACCAGAGTAGGTTGCCATGGAAACTCTTCCATCTGGCAAGGAGGGTGGAAGGCTGAGGTGAGGCGGCCCTCCAGCCCCCTCTCTCCTGGCCCCACTGCCTCCCACTCTGGGACTGGCCTGCTGTTCAGCTCATGTCGCCGCTGGTGGATGGTCTTGACTTGCTCAGGGTCCAGCTTCTCGAGCTTCAGGGACAAGTCACTGATGCTCCTGATGTGGGTGTCATCCACCGTGTTCTGTGAGGGTGAAGGGTGAAGGCACCTGTGACACCCACCCCGAGCAGTCAGCACACGGAGGGTCTGGCCGGGCCCGAAAGAGGGTGAGGAGCAGTGTGACTGGGGAGTGCAAGCAGCTGCACCCCATGCCGGGGGCAGTGAGCAAGAGACACTCAAGGCCTGCAGCCCCAGCGTCCTCTCTAAGGCTAGAAAAATGCTCCTGGGTCAAAACTGAGCAGGGTGGCAGGGCCGGCCGGCAAGGATTAATGGAAGCCTTCAAGTTAAATTGCTCAGAAAAGCAATTGATAAGAAAGCAAGAATAAGAACTGAGAATAAGAATTGGCAAGAAAAGTAAAGCAAGTGGTGAGCTTGGGTCTCCTGGTGTTTGAGTGTCTGCACCCCTAGGAGTCACAGGCTGGGGCTGCTTAGTGACAGGGGCTTCTGGGTCCATGAGCCGGGGCCCCTGGCAGTGGGAGGGAGTGTGGGGGTCCTACCACTAGCAAAAGCAGCCTGTGTTCCTAGGGCTTGTTAAAGTCTCCAAAGCGCTTCCCTAGGAGGGTCGCATACGAGCTAGGCAAGGAAGGGGGTTCCTCTCCTATAGACGTTCTTCAGAACAGTCAGAGGCTACCGGGGCTAACGTGTGGCAGAGCCAGGATTTGAGCCTCGCTCCTTGAGTCTCTCTGGTTTCTTCTACCACAGCACCTGGCGGAGGCTGCGAATTCCTTTACCAGCAAAGGGGAGCCTGGGGTGGAGCACTGCAGCCTTGCAGAAATCGTACATGCTTCCCCCAGAGGGAGGAGGTTAGTGTGTATTGTCTCTAACACCTGACTATGACTACGTCGGTCTTATTTCTTTCATCTATAGCATAAAGAGAAAGGGATTTGGGGGGTGCATGTGGGGGTGTGGTGATGAGAAGCTGAGAGGCTGGATGAGGGTTACGGGCAGCTGCAGTTTGCAGATAGATTATCCACTACATCCAGGCATACGTGCATTCTTTTTTTAAATTTTGAAACAATTACAGATGCACGGGAAATTGCAAAAGTGGTAGGGAAAAGTCCCCTGTACCCTCCGCCCAGCTCCCCCTGAGGGTAAAGTCTTCTATGACTGGTGCACAAAATGAAAACCAGGAAAGCACATTATCACTATGAACGAGACAACAGGCTTAAGAGTTGCTCAGTTTCTGCATGTGTGCCCCTGTGTGTGTTGGCGGGGGGTACAGTTCTCTGCAGGTTTATCACATGCAGATTCATGTAGCCACCACCACACGTCCCTGTCCCTTACCTAGGAGGCAGGCCTCATCCCCAGTTTAAAGTAACTACTAGTTGGCTTGGCGAGATGAGGGGGCCCGAGCACACGCAGGTGGTAAGCACGGAGCGGCAGTTTGGATCCCTTCCCTGAGCCTCGCTCATCACTTCTCTGATCAGTCCTGATTCCGCTGGGGACCTGTTGACCAACCTCTCCCCCCAGGGCCCCCTTACCTGGGCCCAGACTCCTCGGAGCTGGTGGAGCTGCCTGCGGAGCTGCAGACAGTGCTCAAGGTCCCGGCCGAGGTTGCCTACGTTCACCATGGCATCCTGTGGAGGCCGAGGGGTGAGGACCTGGGGGCAGTGTCTGAGCCCCAGCACCGGGGGCACCCAGCACCGGGTGCAGGGGGCAGTTTTGGGAAGTTCCTGCTGGGGTTCCACCTGTCAGGGATCCGGGGAGCTACAGGCCCAGGGCTCCACAGGCCCAGGGCTCCTTGCCCCCATATCTCAGCCCCGAGGCCCCATCCCTGACTCTGCTGGCTGGGTCTTACCATCTCCTGGATCCAGGCATCTGCAAGGTCAGCTCTCCTCAGAAATTCCAGAAAGTTCCACCCGTCCTCTAGGTCCTGGCGCCGGAGAGCCAGCGCCTGCCTCAGCTTCCGCCAGCGCTCCTGCAGTTCCCGTAGCCTCTGGGAGACCTCTCCTGCCCGAGGGTGGCTCTGTGCCAGGAGAGCCTCGCCATCCTGGGAGACAGGATGCCGGGAGATCTTGCCTGTCACCGCCCCCATCCCACCCCACCTGAGACCTTCCCCCTTGGCCACCTGAGAGCCCACACTCTGAGGCAAGACGGGGGCCGAGGGCCTGGCTGTTACCTTGGTGACAGAGGTTATGACCTCCTCATGGGCCTGGACCTCAGCCTCGAAGGCCTGGTGTTTCCACAGGAGCCTCAACTTATCTTTCAGGTCCCCAGGAGGGATTGGCTCTTTTAGCTGCTGGACTCGCTCCTCCATCCAGTCCTGGGCCTGGTGGGGGTGGGGACACGAATCCCATGATGCCGATGCTGCTTCAGCCCGTGACAATGTCCCACGCACCCACTCTCTGCTGTGCCCAGGTAGTTGACTGCCAGCCCCAAGGGCTGGGCAAGGCAGTGCCAGGTAGATGAGATCCAGTGCTTCTGGCCCAGGAGGACGTGTGCCAGGGCCAGCTGGCCCCCAGCCACAGGGAAGGGCTGGCAGGGCCTTTGGAGGTGAGGCTGGCCTGCTCCAAGGCCCTAGAAGCTTGGCTCCGTCCCTCTGCCTCCCCACTTCTCTCAGGCCTGGCCCTCACAGGCTCAGTAAGCAGTCAGGTCTCTGCCCACTGTATCTCTGAATCAAATGTTGTGGGTCCCAGCGAGGGCTCTGGGAAAGCCATTTAACCTTCCAGACTTCAGTGTCCTCATCACAGGGGTGTGGTGAGGCCTGAAGGCGCCTGTGAAGGTTAAGGTCATCTGTACACCGTAAAAGGTGGCCCACGCAGAAGGCATGGGGCTGGGGGTGGCCCTCTGACCTGAGTCACAGCCCTGGTGAAGCCAGTCATCAGCAGTGAGGTGTGCAAGGCTTGTCTCCGGCCCTCTGCCAGTTCCTTCACTCGAGCCCGATGCTCTAGCACTGCGTGGAGCCGCTCCTGCACCTTGGGGTCCCCATGTGTCTTTGCCTGCTCGCACAGAGCTGACTCCTGGGGGGCAGGGGCAGAGTCTACTGTTCCCCCATGCCAGGAGGCTGGAGCAGGGCCCACAGGGAAGCCCTTCCCTCAGCCCAGCACGGCCCAGGGCTGGCTGGTCCTCCCAGAGAGCCAGAACCAAACCCGTAGCTCCCCAGTGACCTCATCATGTGGAGCCAAGTGGCCCTGGCATCCCTGCCCTGTGGCCCTGTTCTTGAGCTATACATCCCACTCTGCTCAGTCAGCTGCAACCAGGCACCCCTATTCCCACAGGCTGTCACCGTATGACACCATTACCTGTGAGTGCGCACCAAGCACTCCATCTTTTGTTCCGAACTCTTCAAAGTTCCTAGACTCCGCCCAATTCTCCCCTACCCCATCCCAGATTCCTGACCATGCCCAGTTCTCTCAGAGCCTATTACCTTCTCATCTTGGGCAGTCAGAACTTTCTGGAAAGTGTTGTGTTTGCAGATCAACTGCTCTACCTCTTCCACTGAGCTCCCCAAGGCACCGGCTTTCAGGGAGGCCTGGATCACCCATGGAAAAGTCAGAGGGGCCATCAGGGACTACCCAGACAGCTGGGCCTCCCCACCCCCATTTGCCTCATCTGTGCTGAGCAGAAGCGCACAGCTTCTGTGCCTATCAGGGAACAACCCAGAATCCCAGGAGGCAAGTAAATGAGTAAGGGGAGAGAAGAAAGGGAGTAGACCGTGTGCACGGGGATGTATGTTGTGGGGTGAGGGGGACCTGCCTCCTGGGCTGTGAGGATCTGTTCCAGGTGGTCACACTTTCTCAGGAAGAGCTGCTCCTGGTGCACAGTCTGCAGCTTCTCCTCCTGCCACTCCCAGGCCTGGAACACCTGCTCCCGCTCATCCTGCAGGGCTTGCAGCCATTCCTGGACCTGAGGATGGGCAGGTGGGAGCCCGCAGTGGGGAGAGCCGTGTGGACGAGGTGAAAGATCCCGAGGGAAGCCCCCCGTGGAGCAGCCAGTGGGGCAGAGTGGGGCAGGATCAGACTAGGGCAGGGCAGGCTCGGGGGGCACCAACAAATGGGCCCACCTCCTTCATAGGTGTCCCTACATCCAGAAGCGCCTGCTGGCCCAGCTGGGAAGCCCTCTGGTGCAGGTCCTCACGGGCCTCCAGCTCGGCCCGAAGCTGCTGGTGGGCGCCGAGCGTTAGAAGGCCCCCACTGGGCTCCCGGGAGCTCTCCTCTCCCTGCAGTTCCCGCCGCACAGCGGCCGCCCAGGAGGTGTAGTCCTGCACCTGGGTCCCCAGGAGATGGAAGGAAAGAGTTGGGTGAGGGCAGGGCTGGGTGGCAGAGACCCGGGTTCTGAGGCCCAAGGACAGCCCGCCCCCATCTGCTCGCTCACTGGAGTAACTGAGCTGTCCCAGGTCAGAGCCTCAGCTGAGGCTCCTGGGGCCTTGTGTTCTTGGTTCCTCTGCTCTCATCCAGCCTCATCCTTCCAGGCCCACGAAATCTCCACATCTGCAGCCTCCTCAGCACCCTCACCGAGACTTATCACCCTTTGCTTTTGGGGCTGCTCCTGCTTAGAAGCTCCTTCTCCTCCTTTCTGTCTCCTCCAAGCTTATCTGCTCCTCAACGGCCAAGCCTTGTTTGCATCCTGAAGGCTTCCCTGGCACTGTGACATCTGTCACCTTGTCCTCGGGATTTCTACTTTAATACTTATCAAGTGTCTTCTGCTGATTTGTGTACACATGCATGGTAGAGCTGGAGGGGCCTTGGATCCTTGTCCAAACACCTCGTTGCATAAGTGAAGAAGGGTCACAATGTGTATGAAGGAGGTTTGCAAGCTCTAGGTCCTCACAGAGGGCGACAACTCAGACTCTGTGCCTAGCCCAAACTGACGCTGCTAGAAAGTAGCAGAGGTAGATCCCTCAAATCGAGCCTATTCGTGGTGTCATAGTTTGCGCCTCCTGGTTCACCAGGCACTGAAATCTGGGGGCTCCCGGGATAGCCTGTGGCCAGGGCCCCCATCCCAATCTGACTTCTGGAGTGTTAGGCTGATCTTCCTGGCTAGATCAGCTCCATGAGGGCAGCAAGTCCATCTAATGCAGCTTTGTCATCAGCCTTCTCTTCCTACCCATGGGACCCAGTAGATGGTGAGACACAGATGTTAAATAGATGCTAGCTGATCCTGACGTCACTGTCTAGAACATTTGGATCTCTAACTTCTGGGCTATTTTTCCTCCCCAGGCCCAGCTGGGCCCCTGTCTCCTGACTGCTCTGTTACTCACCTGGGCTGCTGTTGACTCAAACCTAAGGAGTCACTGCTACATCCCATGTGCTCAGTGCTGTGACCAGCCAGCCAGATATGCAGGCGTACCCACGCTCTTCTAATTCATGTCCACACTGGGTTTCCCTCCAGAGCTTGAGGGCCTCATTAGTACATGCAAGTGCATTGCATGGTAAACACACACACACACACATACACACGCACACAAGCACGCACACACGCTGCCCAAGAGGAAGGAGCCCTCACTGCTCTGTGGAAATGGGCCAGGAGGCATGCCCGCTCCAGTTGGGTCCGGCGCTGCTCCACGTGTAGCTTCAGGGCCTCCCAGGCCTGCATCAGAGTCTGCTGCCTCTGCTGTACGGCTTGGGCCTGGGGCCCTGGCCCCAGCTTCTGTACTGTGCTTGCAGTCTCTAGCAGTTCCTGCAGCTGGGGTCAGGGTGGAGCATAGGGAGGGAAGGGTCATGTCTTCCTAGAGGCTGAAGGGCCTTCCCATCCCACAGACCTCTCCTTAAGCCATGCCCTGCCAGGCACAATAGGTCCAACTGGAGGCCCTGTGGGAGTGTGGGAGACCCAGAGGAAGACACGGGCAGGCCTGAGGGGGCCTGTAGGGGCCTGCATGGCTCACCTGCCACCCAGTGCCCACCAGCTCATGCTCCAGTTCCTTGTGTCTTCTCAGCTGGGCCTCCAGCCCACGCAGGTCTGGGGCCACATCACTGGGGAGGCTTGTGGCTTTCTCCTGAGGAATCGAAGGTGGGGCACCTGAGCCTGGGGTGGATCCACTTCTAGAAAGAATCCCCTTTCTCCCCCTTAGGCTCATACCCGGACTTGCGTGAGGGCTTCCAACAGATCTCTGTGTACTCTGAGGGTGACCTCGGCATCTTGGAGCAGGTGGCCTTGGGCCTGGGTCAGCTCCCATAACTCCGACCAGGCAGCCCTGTCCACAGGCATGTGGAAGACCGACAGGTCAGTCCACCCTTCGCTAGTCTCATCAGCCTCCTCCTCTCCGGGCTGCATCCAGGACGGGCCCAAAGCTCCCCTTCTGAGCCCCTGTCCTGCCTCGGGGCCTGCCTGCAAACCTTCCTCCCTGGAGCCTGTGCGCCTTTACCAGGAATTCAGTCCTTCACCACTCTCTTGCTCAGCGCCTGATTTCTACGCTTTGTGGTATTTCTTCCAGCTTATGTAGTCCAGTCTCAAATGTCAATCAGATTACAAACGCTCAAGGGCAGAAGCCGCATCTTCTCTCCATTCCTTATTTACTCAGCCAAGTCTCACTGACCTTCTAAGACTTCTACCGGGCCAGGTTCCACAGACAAGTTCAGCCTGGCCTGAGAGCGCACAGGCTGGGGGTGCCCACAGCAGCCTGGAGGCAGCTAGGCAGTTTTTACACATCTCCTTCCCCAAGTCCAGGAACCAGTGTTTGGAAAAGTGTCCGGGGGGGGGGGGGGCTGGGCAGGACTCCCTGACCTGCACACCCAGCCCTGCCTCCCTGCACACGCCGTGGTCACCAGAGGCTGACCCAGCCGCCTCCCAGGACCAGCACCCTCTCCAGACACCTGGTGGGCAGGCAGAGCCAGTGTGGCCCTCAGAGCATCCTGCCCTCTCAACATCCCAGGAGCTGCCTGCACAGCTTGCTCTCCCAAATCTGCACCCCTGGCCTAGCCCACTGGGTACTCACTGCAGGTCCTGCTGCCTTTGACGGGCATTGGGGGCCGCACTGTGCCCAAGCTCCAGCAGGCTCTCTACTAGCTGCTGGCAGGTGGTCACCCGCTGGCCACCCAGCTCCACTTGGTGCTGAAACCTTGCAAACCTGGAACGGAGGTGCTGAAGAGAAGAGGGGAGTGGGTGACATAATGGCTCCCCACTGGCAGGGCAGGAAGCAGCCTGGGGAGCAGGTGCCTCCTGACCGTCTGGGCAATGAGGGGTGGGACAACCGCTGTGCCTCCACATTCTACTCAGAGGGCCTGTCCTCAGCCAGCACTCGTGACCGCCACAGCCCCCTTCTCCATGGCCCTATAGGCTGGCCCACTGTCCCCAGCCTTCCACCTGAGGGTATCCTCAGAGCCCCAGCTCTCTTCTCACCAGGATGTGCTCATGGTCTTCTCCGAGGCTCTGCTCTGGCCTGGCTGCCTGTTTCTGGCTAGCCAGCCAGCACCGCAGCTCCTCAGCCTCCTCCATGAACTCGTGCAGTTTCAGTGTCCCCTCCAGCTCACAGCCCCTGTGGGGACAGCCCAGTTCGCCCAGGTGAGCTGCCCACTCCCCTGGGGACAGCTGGCCCAACTGGAGGGGGCACCTTGAAGGAGCTTATTCATGGTCTGCATAAGCCTGTGGCTCTGGATTCAGGGAACACTAAACCCAAAGAGGACAGTACAGGGCAGCGGGTGCATCTACAGGGAAGAAATGGGAGCTGGGATCTGGTGGGCTGAGTTCTTGCCAGTGGGCCTCATTCAGGACTTGACAGAAGGAGGTATCACCCAGCAAGGACTCATCTGACACATCTCTGTAGGCCTGGAGCCATAGTGTCCTTCCAACTCAGGGTCACAGTATGGGGACAGTCAACTGTGGCTAGGCCCCCCTACCCAGAGTGGGTACAGTGCTCCTTACCGTTTGGCGGCCAACTCCTGCAGCATTTGCAGCTGTTCCCGGAGCCTCTCTCGTACCACGCCCAGCTGCTCAGCGGTCCCAGGGCCAGCCAGGATTTGGGCCTTCTGGTCAAGCTCCTCCAAGGAGCTCCAATGAAGAGCTAGTTCCTGCTGTAGGGCCTGCCAGTACACATGGACCCAGGCCAGTCTCAGACTGGGTGGCTCATTCACCTCTACATTCACCTACCCACCCATCCATTCACCCCTGAACATCAGACCCATCCATGTACCCATCTACCCATACATTGATCTACCCATCCATTCATCCTTAACCCATCCATGTGTCCATCCATCATCTACCTACCCAAAACTGATGGAGTTCTTACTGTTCCAGAAAAGTGAGGACATAGCCCTCAGAGGGCTTGCTATTTAGCAAGGAAGGGTAAATGCTGGGTAACTGGGGCCAGGGAAAGGAAGGTACTAGAGGCACTGCATAGACCCTCCCAATAGAGTAGACAGAGATGGCCAGGGTTAAGCGAGCTGCCCAGGATGTCTGGAATACCAGAGCACCACAAGGTCATAGCTCCAGGCACACCCTGTAGGAATGGCTGAGAGTCCTCAGTCACAAGACATGGAAATACCAACCACTAAGGCTCTACAGAAAACCATATCCAGACAAGGATGCTTCAGTGCCAACCAGAACTGGAGCTGCTGTGGGGCCCAGAGCTGTGTGGTCCTGAGAGTCCAATTCCGGAAAGGGGAGGGTACTCCAGGCCTCCCGCTCTTTAACTAGGGGCTGCTTGTGGGGGGAGGTAGGTTTCAGGAGAGCACTTGATTAATTTGAAGGATGACATTCAAAGTGTGAGAGGAAGAACCCTGTGGAAAATGTGGAGTGGGTTAAAATAGGTGACTCCAAGAGAGGAGAAAGTGCTGGACAAGAGAGGAAGAAGCCAGAGAAATCCTGAGGTCACAGGGGTATAAACTGGTCAAGAGACAAAAGAAAGGGACAGGAGTTCTTCAAAGGGTTGTCTCTGCAGAAAGGGAGCTCTGCGGATGGGCAGGGTACCTTGCTAGACTTGGGGGGCTGGCAGGAAAGGAAGCTGGCCATGTCTTCCAGAAGAAAAAGTGGGGCTCTGAGAAGGAGGATGTGCCCTTTGGGAGGGTGACAGCCTTTCCCTTGTGGATCATCGTCATCCCAGTCCAGGATGTGTGGAGGCTGCCCAGGACATGGTACCTGGTGCTTTTCAATGAGCCTGATGGTGGCTCCCTGGTCTCCACCGCAGTCCTGACTGCTCACCAGTGGCTGCTTTGCCTTCACCCAGTCCTCCAGCTCGGATGCAGCCAGAAAACACTGCCAAGAATGAGGACACCTCACCTTGATGATGTCAGATGGGATCCTCCACCACCCCCTGGGGACATCATGGGAAGCTCCCCAGAAGCCAGCACAAAGAGGTTTCTGTGCCTACTGGATACTAGCCAGGTCCTGGGCCCGGGTGTTCACAACTGACCCACTGCTCTGAGAGTGCCAGCCCCTGCACGCCTCACTCATGGCGGCTGCCTGACGTTCGCCACTCCCCCCAATCCTGGTGCTCGCTGCATCCTACCTGCTGCAGAACGACAGCCTCCTGCAGGCACTGGGCCTGCACCTCACATGCCTGCTCCAGCTCTGCCCAGCGGCCTGCCAGCTTTTCGCACTGCTCCACGATGCACTGGGCATGGGGGTGCCCTGAGGCTGCAAGGCTCCGTCCAGAACCCAGCACCTGCTGCACCTGTCCCTGGTGGGCTTTCACCTCCACCCGGAGCTCCTGCCACAGGACAGGATGAGGGGCTGCCGCCCTCAGTCACAGGGAGACTAGAACAGAGCCATGGAGGCGGCTCTGGCTCCCACAGGGGCAAAACTCCTGGGCAGGGAATAACTGGGGGCAGAGACTTAGAAATCAGGATACACCGTTCCATGACAGAAGGCTTCTGAGGTCTAGAGTGGGATGTCAGGGATCTGGAGAGTTGAAAAGGGGGCCGTTACCTCGTGCTTGTGGCGAAGGCTCTGGGCACCACTCAAGCATTTGGCGGAGCTGGCGCTGGGCATGTGCTCGGTCACCCAAGTGAGCTCCAGGTTACTCAGTTGGTAGAACTGGTACAGCCCAACTGAGGCCTGCAGCTGTAGGCGCCGGGCAGCCAGATGGCCCTGCAGGGACTCGAACCTGGGTGGAGGCAGAAGAGATGGTGGTGGTTGGGAACAGGTGGCTTCCCCTGGTGGGGCTTTCCACAGCCCAACCAGGGACCCATGAGGAACAAAGTAGCGGACAGAGGAAAGCCTCATCTGATGACTGGCAGGCAGCTGGCCTGGGGCCCAACCTTTCACCCAGACAAGCTGCCTGACTTCAGATTGTGGGGTGCTGAGGAAGCCTGGTTGGGGTCTCTGGCCTTCCTGTTCTGGGAATGACTTTACTCATAAGAGAAGGAGGTCTGGACCACCTCAGGTCCTATGGATGCTGCCGCTGGGCTCACTGGGTAAAAACCATCCTAATGTTCATGTGCTGGGGGTGGCACACAATGGGGTGAAGATGGAAAAGCAGGTGGGTACCTCAGTAGGTACTTTTGGGTCTCCTCCATGATGGTCTGGGAAGTGAGCCCCTGGTGGGCCTGGGAGACGAGAGCAGCCATCTTGCTGGCCAGTGCCTGGCTCTCCCTTTCCAGTTGGCAGTGCTGCCTCTGCAGCCCCCGGCTCGAGCCCAGGTCCTGCCCAGTTTCTGCACTCTGCAAGGCCCCCTCCAGCTGCTCCATCTTCTTCTTGGCATCCTGGGGAAGGCGCAGGGTATGGATTAGGCTCTGCAGTACAGCAGCCCACACTGCTTGCAGCTCACCGGATTCACGGAGGACCTACTAGAGACTGTTAACCTTGCTGTTGTCCACCTACCACCTTCCCCCCGAGCCTCGCCAACACTCCTATCCCCTTGTGCTTTTTCCTCTGTGGGGATTCAAGTTGTGCTGACTACACACTGCACACACAGGAGACAGTTCTAAGTTGGCAAAGCCAGGCTCAACTCGCCACAGGCCAGAGGCCTCTAAAGAGGGCTACTCCAGAGTAAGCAGAACACCCAGACTCTTCCCCTCCCCTTCCTTCCTGCCTGTTCCCACCCAGCCTAGCCCAGCACAGCCCCAGTCTCCCTCCTGTGCCCCACCCCTCCCTTCGGCCCACCTGCAGCAGCCCCAGAAGCGGGGCCTGCTGCCTCGCCTGCCGGAGCTGGTCCCCATGCTCTGCCATCTTGCGCTTCACTGCTTCCCACTTGTTCCTCAGGTCCTGGAGGCTGTTCTGCACATCTTCCTGTGCTTGGGGCCTGCTGCTCAACAGCTGTCTCCCAACCTGGAGTGGACACAAAGACCAAGGGAATTCTGTTGAGTTGCTGGTACCGTGAGTGGCCATAGCAGGCTGGACTCAAGTGGCAGAGGTGGGCGGGGGTAGTTGGCTACAGGTTGCTTTCTACAGGCTGCAAGCACTTGAGCATTTCATATGGCCCCAAATCTGTGGGCAGAGGTGGGCGGGCTTTCCTCTGATGCCCCCAGGTAGAGCCAGGTGAGCGGGCAGCAGACTGCGGTAGGGAAGGCTTTGTTCAGGTGGAGGCAGCAGGCACTGGAACCGCGCTCAGAGCTGGGGGCAGGTGGGGGGAGGGGAGAGCCAATGGAAACATTCTGGGCTGTTTGGGGACCAAGGCAGAGGGGTACCCAGCTGAGTGGAGGAGGAGTCTGTGGGATCCTAATTCTGAGATAATGAAGAATGATTCTTCCTTCAGGGAGTTTGTTCCATGAAAGCACACCATACACCAGGGCTGGGAATTTGAAGAGGAATAGGCCCTGCACCCTCTGGCCTGTGCCCCCACCTGCTGCAGGCCCTCCACGTGCCCAAGGGTGGCCAGCAACTCGCGCTCAGCTGCTTCGTGCTGCCTGAGTTGCTGCAGGACTTTGCTGGGCTCTCGGGAAGGCTCATCTGCTGCCCTCTGTCCCTTCTCCTCTATCCACAGCACCAGCTCTGCCACATCCTGCTTCCATTTCTGCCCAAGAACAAGAAGAAAATGGGTCTCACGAGCAGGGGTGAGGGGGTCTCATGGACCCCCATGGGAAAGAGCAGGAGCCAGAGCCAATCCTAGTGTGCAAGGTGGGGCCTGGGGTGACCACTTGCAAGTAGGGACAGGGAAGCTGAGATTGGTAGAGAAAGATTTCCCCCTCACAGTAGGAGGCAGCCCAGGGAGTGACAGCCTGGCCCCATGGTGTCCTGTGCCGAGAGAAGAAGAGCACTTGGTCCATTCCCACTACTCCAACCCACCTTAAATCATGTCCAGCCATTTCTCCCCAAAGAGGCTTATGCTACTTAGGCCCAGCTCAGAGCCTGGGCTGAACAAATATCTTACAAAGCCGAGGTCTGCAGCTGGTGCCCATGGGTAAACCTAGAGCGTGGCCAGAAATGATGAGGAAGGGAAGTTGCCGGATGAGGGAGGGCAAGGGGGTTTATAGGACTTCAGGTCCAGTCCTGCCTCTGAACAGTATGGCCTTAGCCTGTTCTCATCTGGAAAATTCAGAGCCAGAATGTCTGTCTCACAAGAGGGGTGATGAGGGTCCATGATATAACACATGGGAAAGACCTTTGCAAACTGTAAAGAGCTTTGCATTGTGCATAAGGGTGAGCATAGCAGTAGACTCCAAGGCAGTCCTGCTGGGGAGGCCCCGTGCCCCTGGGCTGGCCCCCCTTCACCTGGAGCTGGAGGGAAGCCAGCAGCTGCCTCCTCCTCTGCTCACTCCTCTCCTGGACCCTGGTCCACTGTGTCTGGATGCTCTGCAGCTGCTCCAGGACCCTGGAGGCCGGATCAGGGAAGGCTCAGGGAGGCTCCCCTCTGCCCAAGGCCTGTTGCCGCCCATGGTGTGCCCGCTTCGGCCCCACGCCCCGCACTCTCTCCCAGCCTCCAGGAGCAGGTTGTGCAGGCCGAGAGAGGGGGGCAGGTGCTGCCCAGACAGGCCTGGACTCACTTGTGCGCAGCAAGGTGTTGGCTCAGGGCCAGCTTCTCCCCGCGTGCCTGCAGAGCTTCTGCTCGATGGCCAAGGATGCTCAGCAGCCGCCCAAACTCCTTGTGCTGCTGCAGCAGGCGCTGGGCCTCCCCGACATCTTCCTAGGGGTGCAGAGATGGGGAGTCATGGTTGTTGGCTTCAGAGCCCCCTCCAGTGGTGGGGAAGTGGCACTGCAGCCCCGTATCCCTGGCTCCCTACCCCGAGGTTGTCCAGTTCCAGGAAGGCCTCGCGGCTGGCACAGGCGGCAGTGAAACAATCTACATCATGGCCAAATCTCTGCAGTTCCAGTCCCTCCTGCAGCCGCTGCTGTCTCTGCTCCCAGGCGGCCTGCAGGCCCTGGCCTTGCTGGCTCAGGAGCCCCAGAGCATGGGCCACCTCTTGGGAGTCTGGGGAGTCCAGGGCTGAAATAGGCTGGCCCCGAGCCTCCAGCTGCTGCAGCCTGTCCACAATGACAGGCAGAAGGTCAAACCCCACCCACTCCTCTCACCCCATCCTTCCTCCCCTCTCAGTTTCTCATTCATTCTGGAGTTCTGATAAAGGGTAACTGGCAGGGGCCTGAGGCTGGTAAGCCCCTCCCTGCAGGTTCACTGGCCCCATAGAAGAACTGTGCCCTGGCACACTACTGACACACAGAATGTAATGGGCCTAGCACACTACTTAACAGCTGTCATGCTCCCTGCCACATCACACCGCTGCTCCAGAACACTGTCCTATTGGTTGATGCCCAGGCAAGTAGAAAAATCCCTCAAACCACATACATGCCTGCCTGAAAAGCCAGTGCCAGCCCATGAGCATTTAGGAAGGGTGCCTCTTTCAGCGAATTGAGCGCCCAGGCACACAGCTTGGGGACAGGTAACACCCTTGTGTGGATCAGAAAAAGGCTCCACTTCCTCTGAGGTGAGGCGGCCCTGAAGCATTAGTAGAATCTGGCAAACAGAGGGTGAGATGGATTCACTGCCCACTCGGCTGCCTTCAGGCCCCATTGTACAGGGCACAGCTTATAGTCTGTGCATGGTGACACTGCCTGCCTGATGGACCTGTACCATCATCCCTGCAGGAGGAGAGGTCTTGCCATACTGAGGAGGTAGGTGTCCTAGTCCTACAAGGTGGCGGGGGGGGGGGGGGGAGTCGGGGAGATAGGGTGAGCCATCTGACTCCAGGAGCCTGCAGGATCTGCATTATCCAGAATGGCTTGGAAGGCTAGGCTGCCCCAACAAAAAGCAATCCACCAGGCTCACCTGGATGGGGTATAGCCAAGCCCAAACTCACAAAACTTTTCAGGAAACTCAGATTGTGCCCTACAACCCCCACCCCCCAAATATGCAGGATGCCTGACTAGTTCTTAGTTACATCCTCCTCAAAACCTTGTGTAAGCACCTGCTGGAAACCAGCCTGGACCAATACCCTGGGTAACATCTTGCTTCCTGCCTCTCCCCTTCTGGTGGCCTGTCCCCACAGGCCTTAGCCAGCCTGAGCACACCCTGTATGTCCTCCCACCCTGACCTCTCCTGCTGCAGCCGGATCTCCTCCAGCAGATTGCTGTGCTCCAGAAGCAGCTGCTGGGCTGAGGCCATGTCCACCACCTTTTCCTCGCTATGCAGCTGAGCCCAGACACCTTCCATCCACAGCAGCAGCTGCTGGCTCTCCCGCAGGAAGCTCTGCCGTGCCTGTGCTTCAGCCTGGGCCCTGGCCTGTTGGGCCACATGCTGCTGTCCCCGCTCCAGCAGCCCCTGCAGCATCTCCACCTGTTCTTGCAGGGACTGGCTCTTGGTAGGGCTTGACTCCTTGGCTCTGGGAGATGGGGTCCCCCGCCTAGTCAGTGCCCTGCCCAGGCCTGCTGTCCAGGCTTGAACTCCCCCAGGGAAAATGACCCTGCCCTCCCACCTCCTCCTTGCCTGGGGACAGCAAGCCTGCATGGCTCACCCTTTCCCTGTGAGTATTTCTTCATGCCATTCCCCCACTTGCACCCCTGCCCGCCACACAGTGCATCCTGCCCATCTTCCAATTCCTGTCCTGTTCCTCATTCCACAGCCCTGATCGGTCCTCCCTGCCTCCCAGGGCCCCATCGCTGTGCCAAACCCAGGCTGTACTTTATGGCTGCCCCTTGCAAGTAGTGGACACTCCTCTCCAGTGTTAGCATCTTCTGCTGGACCAGTTGCAAGGTACGGTGGCTGTCTTCTGACTGCCCCAGCTCTAGGGTTTCCAGTTGGAGTAGCAGGTCTTGCAGCTGGACCTGTGTGGATCTGCACTGGTACAGAAAACTGCACACATCTGTGGTGCGTGCCAGCTGCATTTCCTTCTCTATCTTCAGGGCTTCCAGCTGCCCCCACCTGTGCAGAGGGAGCAGCGATGTCTCCATCAAAGGGACATCCCCATCCATCCTGGGGCCCTGGCCAGGGGCTCACACAATAGCTGCCACTAGGCTGGCTGACCCCATACCCTCTGCTCCCTGTATCTGACATGCCCAGTGTTTCCTCCTGGCATTTCGGGATGTAGGTAAGCAGGCGCGCAGGCCCAGGAGCTGCATCCAATCTGTCTCCACTGTCCTGCACTCCCTCATTCTTACCTCCAGCTCAGTTCCTCCTGCTGTTGCTGGATTTTGGGGGTGTCTTCAGGATATCTCTGCTTTAGCTGCTCAGCAGAGCTGCTGACTTCAGCCCAACAGCCCCTTCTCACAGACAGGGCAGTGAGGAAGTTCTGGGGAAAGGAAGACCCAGGCCTTGAGGCAGCTTCTCTTCCCATACTGCCCTCAAGACTACAAATGACCTCAGACATGCTCTGATGCATAAGTGTTTGAGCCTCATCCCTCTCAAAGGACTGAGATCTTTGTCCTTAAAGGGCCCCCTGGAGGGCCCTTTAAAAACTCAAAGCCAAGTATCCAAATTAGAAAGAAGCAAAACTGTCACTAGTGGTCAATGATAGGGTATTATACACAGAAACCCTAAAGACCCCACCAACAAATTGTTAGAATAAATGAATTAAGTAAAGTTGCAGGGCACAGAATCAATTTATAAGAGCATTTTGCATTTCTATACAATAATAATGAACTATCAGAAAGAGAAATTAAGAAAACAATCTAATTTACAATTGCATTAAGAAGAATAAAATAGGAAAAAAAAAAAAAAAAGAAGAAGAAAATAGGGCAGTCCCGGTGGCGCAGCGGTTTGGCACTGCCTGCAGCCCAGGGTGTGATCCTGGAGACCTGGGATTGAGTCCCACATCGGGCTCCTTGCATGGAGCCTGCTTCTCCCTCTGCCTGTGTCTCTGCCTCTCTCTCTGTGTGCCTCTCATGAATAAATAAATAAAATCTTAAAAAAAAAAGAAGACTAAAATACCCAGGAATAAATTTAACCAAAAGAGATGAGATACTGAACTGAAAACTCTAAGACACTGATGAAAGAAATTAGGAAAAACCCACAAACAAATGGAAAGATCTATCATGCCCATGGACTGGAAGAATTAATATTGTTAAAATGTCCAAACTACTCAAAGCAACCTACAAATTCAATATAATCCCTATCAAAACTCCAATAGCATTTTTCACAGAAATAGAACAATCCTAAAATTTATATGGAAACACAAAAGACTCTGAATAGCCAAAGTAATCTTGAGAAAGAAGAAAGTCAGAGGCATCACACTCCCTGATTTCAAACTATATAGTTTGCTATATTAAACTACAGTAATTATTTATAGTAATCAAAACAGTGTGGTCTTCGCATAAAAACAGATACATAGATCAGTGGGACAGAATAGAGAGCCCAGAAATAAAGCCATGCACACAAGGTCAATTAATTTACGAAAGGAGCCAAGAATATACAATGGGGAAAGGACAGTTTCTTCAATAGATGGTGCTGGGAAAAGTGGACAGCCACATGCAAAATATGAAACTGGACCCCTACCTTACACCATATACAGCAATAAATTCAAAATGCTCAACACTAAAAGCAAATAATCAGATTGAAAAATAGGCAGAGGACCTGAATAGACATTTCTCCAAAGAAGACATACAGATGCCCAACAGACATAGGAAAAGATACGCAGCATCACTAATCTTTAGGGAAATGCAAATCAAAACTGCAACGAGAGATCATCTCACACCTGTGAGAATGGCTCTTCTCAAAAATACTAGAAGTAAGTGTTGGTGAGGATGTGGAGGAAAGGAAACCATTGTGCACTGTTAGGGATGTAAATTGGTACTATGGAAAATAATATGGAGGTTCCTCAAAAACAAAATGTAAAATAGAACTAATATATGGTCCAGCAATTCCACTTCTGGGTATTTATCCAAAGAAAATGAAAACATTCATCTGAAAAGGTATCTGCACCCCCCTCCCATTTGTACCAGCATTATTTACAATAGCCAAGATATGAAAGCAGCCTAACTGTCCACTGATGGATGGACAAAGAAAATGTGGTATATATACACACCACATACAACAGAAATAAATATTTCTTTCATATCATAAAAAAAGAATGAAATCTTGCCCTTTGGGACAACGTGGATGGACCATGAGGGCATTATGCTGAATGAAATGAGGTAGAGTGAGATAAATACTGGATGATCTTACTTGTATGGGGGAATCTAAAAACACAAAATAAAACCAGATAGAGACAGAAGACACATTGGTGCCTGCCAGAGGTGGGGAATTAAGGGGTGGGTGAAACGGGTAATGAGGCTATAAAATAAATAAGTTGGGACGCCTGGGTGGCTCAGTGGTTGAGCATCTGCCTTTGGCTCAGGGGGTGGTCCCAGGGTCCTGGGATTGAGTCCCACATCAGGATCCCTGAGAGTCGCCTGATTCTCCCTCTGCCTATGTCTCTGCCGCTCTCTCTGTGTCTCTCATGAATAAATAAATAAAAATCTTAAAAAAATGAAATAAATAAGCCATGGGGATATAAGGTAAGCCTGGGGACTGCAATTAATAATGCCGTGTTGCAGTGTTTGAAAGTTGCTAAGAGAGTACATCTTAAAAGTTCTCATCCCAAGAAATAAATTCTGTAACTACGTGGGGTGATGGACATTAACTAGACTTACTGTGGTGTACATTTTACAACATACACATGTGTTGAGTCATTATGTTAATAATATAATACATTGATTTTAACTAAAATTATTGTGATCGTTTCACAATATATACAAATATCATTATGTTGCATATCTGAAACTGATAAAATGTCACATATCAGTTATACCTCATTAAAAATGCAAGGCCAGATCCCTTGCTCTTTCTTCCCAGACAGGAAGCCAACTAACATGGACAATCAGGCACAGGAGCAAATAACAGAGAGGCAGGAGCCGGCAGGGAGGGAGGAGGATAGGAATGAGAAAGGCAGAAGGATCAAGCAGCTAAGACCCCCACTTCGGGTCCACAGGGGCGGTACCTCATATTTGAGCTGCGCGACCTCCACGTTATCGTCGGCCTGGGGCTGCAGCGTTTGGAGCAGTGCTGTCTGGTTCTCCAGCCATGACTGAAGCTCCCCACATAAATCATAGAATCCAAACAGGGCCACTGCCTCCTCCAGATGTGCCCTGCGGTGCTGAGGAGAGGCCGGCCCAGAGGTTGGGGTGAGGGTCAGCTTCCCCATAGGGCCCTCAGAGCAGTCCCATCATCCTGACTCCCTCACCAGCAGAGCTCAGAGCCAGGGCCAGAGAGGGTCCCCGCCCCACTGCTGGGCCCAGCGCCCTCGGTCAGAGGCCCAGGAGACGGAGCTCACAAGAGCTTAGCATCAGGTCAAGGGCCCTGGCAGAGTGTGCCCTTTTGATCTAGCTTGGCTGTTTGGGACAGCCTTACTTCTGTGGGACCTGGCTCTGTCTGGCCTGGTCCACCATCCCTCCAGGCTCTCCTACCACCCACCACTCCCGGCTTCACTCCTGGGCTCCAGGCACTCTGGCCTTAACTCCTTCAGGGCCTCCTTCCTGCCTTGGTATAGGTCCTGCCTAGGGCATGGTCTTTCCCCAGAACACCCCCCCGCCCCAGTCTCCCCTGCCCTCCCTCTGGCTTTCCCTGCTCTTAGCCTCTCCTTGTTCCAGGCTCAGCCTATGTCCTCCCCTCAGAATGCCCTCCCTGACTCACAGCCTGACCTGGGCTCCCATCAGGCCCACAGCCACCTAATGACTTCTCATCTTCTCTGCCATGACGGAAGCTCCTTGAGGGCAGCGTGCATGTCCAGTAACTGCTCTGTCCCTGGGTTCATAGCTCAGGGTCTGCTCCATGAACATTTTCTAGAACGAGAGTGTTACCTTTGCCTGGACCCGCAGACCCTCGTAGTCCCGCCTCAAGCAGTCCTGTGTCTGGAGTATGGTGTTAGGGTCAAAGTAAGGGTCGAGCTCAGCAGAGAGGGCCATCTCCTCTGTTCCCAGGGGGCCAGAGCGGCAGGAAACCTCACTCCAGGTCCCCGGGTTCCTCCGGCCTTTCTTTAGAGAGCTCAGGGCAGACACCACCTGTGCTGACAGAACAGAGGGCAGCATGTCCAGAGGGGGCTCCCCTAGGCACAGAAGGCTCGGGGGGCGCGGGGTTGTACCTGGGCTACCCAGAGTAAAGGGGGCGTTCCAGGAGGAACGGGCGGGCAAAATGAGCAAAGCCAAACCGTCCTCGTCCTCGGCTGAGCTCCGTAAGCGTGGCCGTGGGTAGGATGCGGCTGAGGAGGGTGGGGCGCCCCCAAGCCCCGGGGTGGGGGGAGGCCACGATGCCCAGGTCAGGCGCCGCAGAAGCCCTCCCACTGGCACCTTCTGTGTGCGCAGGGCAGCAGGGCAGCAGGGCAGCAGGGCAGCAGGGCAGCAGGGCAGCAGGGCTGGGCCCCGCCGCCGCGCGCACCGTGAGTGACACCTGGGTGGCGGCCGCCCGCGCCTGCTCGTCCAGCCGCCGCAGCTCGGCCCCGAAGGCGTGCACCGCGCGCTCCAGCCGCCCGTGGCGCCGCAGCAGGGCCTCGGCGGCCTCCCGGGCCCGCCCGCGGGGAGCGCCCTCCAGCGCCAGGCGCCGCTCCCGCAGCCACGACGCCGCGTCCGCCGCGTCCGCCGCGTACTGCCGGGAGGAGGGCAGGCTGAGCACCGGCCCGCGCCCCCCCGGCCCCCCCCCCGCCGCCCCCGCCCCCGCCCGCCCCTACCTGCCGGACCAGCGCCGCCGCCTGCAGCCGCGCCCCCCAGCTGGCCGCCCGGGCCCGGAGCCGCTGCCCCGCGCCCTGCAGCGCCTCGGCCCTCTCGCGGGGACCCGGCCGCGTGGGGAGTCCGGGGGCGCCCACGTCGCATCCCCTCCGCACGAGGTCGGCGCACACAGCCTGGTGGTGGCGGATCTCGGCTTCCAGGGCCTGGTTGGGGGGCACAGTCGCCGCTGGGTGCGAGGGCAGAGAGCGGTGGCGGCAAGGTGGGGACGGCAGGGCGCGGGGCGGCAGGTACCTTGTGTTTCCGCAGGGCCGCTCTGAGGGTGCTGAGGTCCCTGCCCAGGGCCTCACCCTCCACCAGCCGCTCGTGCTCCCTCACCCAGGCTTCCTCCGCCTCACAGCTGTCCAGGAACTCTGCCTGCTGCAGGGTCTGCTCCAGCAGGGTCCGTCTGAGGGATGGCGAGGGGCACCAAAGACATTGGTGGCGGGGGGCGGGTGTGTGTGTGTGTGTGTGTGTGTGTGTGCGCGCGCGCGCGCGCTCCCCACCAGGCTCAGACACCTCCCCTTAAACAGTTTTCTTTTCCTGGATAACTGAATGGGGGACCCAGAAGACTCAGGGGTGAGGGTCAGTGTGGAGGGAGTTGCCAAGTCAGCAGTATTTTAACCCCGACAGGAGGTACAGTGGGTTGCTCACAAAGTTCTGGAGAAGGTAAAAGGGGGGGAGCTCTTACCGGGCCCTGACCAGAGACACCAGGCTTTGGTGGAGCTGGGCGAGTGCCTGGACTTCGGCCTGCAGCACCTCCACACTAGCGCCCGTGGAGGAGTCCAGCTCGGCCGTCTGGAGGGCAAGATGGTGCACATGGGCTCCGTGTGCCGAGACCTGGGCCTCCAACAGGTCATGCTTCTGCAGCAGCTCCACTGTTTCTGCCAGCTGCTGCCCACAGGCTGTGGAGCTGGCCAGCACCTGGCCAGGGATGGACAGGTGATCGTTGTGGTCCCAGAGTGCCCCGTGAGTGCCAGGGAGGTGTACCCTGCTGTGTTGCCTCGGGATCTGCTGGTGCAGGACCCACCTGGAGTTCCTTGAGCTGGTTGGAGGTGCTCTCCACCCCCTGCAGCAAGCTCAGCACAGCCTGCAGATCTGCCATCTGCTTCTTCTGCCCTTGGAGACGCTCAAGGAGTTGCTCCCAGCGCCCACTGATCTCTAGTTGCCTGGAGGGCATGAGAGTAAGGGTGGTCTTTACTGGGCTGGTGGGGTGGGGGGAGTGCGGGGAGGAAGCCACCTCAGGGTCTGCAGCTGGTGGACAGGGGGTTTTGGCGGTCATGGAGGATCCTGTGCCTGGTGGCTGGGAGCTTGGAGCATCCTAGCCTGGGGTGGTTTGGGACATTGTGTTCTGGCTTCTTAGACACAGGCAGAGAAGCCAGAAGGAGGGTCTGTGGGGTTCAGGTCTTCAGGGGCCCCAAGCCTTCTCTCCAGTCCCCATCTCAGATGATAGATAGCAACTCTATCCTTCTAGGAGCCTGGGCTAAGATCTCAAGAACTCATTTTCTCACACCCCATCTCTGATCTGTCTGTAAATCCTCTTGGATTCAAAATATATCCAGAATCCCACCATTTTTCATGGCCTCTGTTGCTTCTCTCTGGCCTAGGTGATTACAATAGCCTCATAACTGGTCTCTCTGCTTCTGCCCCTTCAGTCTGTTCCCAACATGGCATCTAGAATGATCATTGTAGCACAGGAGTTAGACTGTGCTACTCCTCTGCTGAAGGCCTCCTGTGATTGGTTTTCCATCTTCCTCTGAATAAATCCAGTTTTTACTGTGCCCTACAGATCATAGCATGTTATCTGCCTCTACCCTTTGCCCCTGTACTTCTTTGACCTCTAAGACTACTTGTTTTCTTTGTTTTTGACCTCTAAGACTTCTTGTTTTTCAACGCTGGCCTCCATGCTATTTTTCAAACATGCCAGACATGTGCCCACCTTGGCACACTGCATTAGCCATTCTCTCTGCCTTGAATAGTTTGTTCCCACATTTGCATGGCTGACTCCCTCACTCCTTTCTGGTCTTTGCTCAAAAGTGAACTTCCTCTGACCACCCAATCTAACTCCTTCCCCCCATGTTGGCACTTCATAATCCTCTATGCTTTATTACTATTTTTTTTCTATCACTATCTCAGGTACCATATGCATATTTTGTTTTCCTTAGTAGTGTGTAAGCTCTGTGAGCAGAAGGATTATTGTTTGCCCTCTTCACTACTAAATCTCCAGCACCTCAAACAGGGTTTGGGACATAAATGTTTGTTTAGTGAAAGAATTAATAAGAGATATCTAGACAGGGCAGTGCCTTACCAAAAGGGGTCAATTATGGATGCTGGAACTTCACGCATTGGTGGGAGGCACAGCTTTTAAAGGGAGCCTCGAACCTATAGATCATACCTCTATGGCTGGGAATGGGCACATGTAAAGATAGGGGTATGACAGGAAGGCCTTAGCCTGTCTTGAGGATGGTTTCCATGCTCCGGGCTCACCTGCAGGCCACATCTGCCCAGTCATGGTGCTGCTCCTGCTGGAGGATGTCTGAGATCTCAACCAGGGCCTGGAAGCGGGCCTCTTGGGGCGGGATGCTGGCCTCTAGCATTCCCAGCCTCTGGGCAGCTGCCTCCACTGCGGCCAGGCTGGCTGGCGGGGCTGCGGCTGCGGCCTGGTCCAGCATGTGCTCTGTGTCTGTCAGGAAGCTTTCCCTGAGGGCTGCCTTGCGCTGGAAGCGCCGGACCAGGGTTTCCAACCGCTCTAGCTGCAGGAGCCTCTGCAGCAGGGCCTGGCTCCGTGAGGCCTCTGCGTGCTCCAGGCCTGCCCAGCGCTGGGACAGCTCTGCAGGGCCCAGGCCCTCCTTAGGCAGGAAGGGCTTGCGGTTCTGTGCCCGGAGCGCGGTCTGCAGCCGGAAGAGCAGGGCCTCTGTGGCCCCTCGCTGCTGCAGCCGCGGGGGCTTCTCCTGGGTGCGGAAGAAGGCAAAGGCCACCAGCAGCTGGCGCGTGGCAGGCAAGGAGTCTGGGAAATCCCGCGCCTCCAGCCACACCTGCTTCTCTGCAATCCAACCCAGCAGGTCGGCCACCAGCTGCTCGTACTGGGTCTGCAGCTCCTCCGTCTCCTGCAGCTGAAGCAGGATCTGGAAGAGGCAAGAGAAGGGTGCAGGGCAGGACCTTGGAGCAGGCCCTGGAGTGGAGCATGGCCCTGTTGACTGCTGAGTGACTGCCAGGGTTGCCGGGGGGGGGGGGGGGGGGTGGTGGTAGCTTCCTCCCTCCCGCCCTGAAGTTGCACTAAAGTGGGGGTTCTCCCAGCCCCCCGAGAAGCGTGTCTGCCTGCATTGCACGTTAGACCCCAGAGTGGGGGAACACCCATCCTGCCTTCCTCCATTTTCTTTTACCCCATTAGGCCTCACCTCTGGGTGAGGTCTATACTGTCCTTTTTGTGAGCCACCTTTCCCTTCCCTAAGGCCCCGGCATCCCTAAAGCAGCTCAAGCCCTTGGCCTCGATCATCTCTCCCCTCCCCAACTGAGACACCAACCCTGAGAACAGCCTTCCCAGGCCTCCACATCTGCCACTGTGCCCAGAGGGTAAGGGAGCCCCCTAAAACATGGACTGAGCAGCAGAGCTGCTTGTGCACTGTTGTTAGAGTCTGACTGTCCGAGCTTTTCAATCCCATTAGGAGCTTAACAACCTAAGGGGGGAGGGGTGGGGACAGGAGGGGATGATGCTCACCTGGCTTTCCCTGTGTGCCAGGCCCTGTGCTGGGCATTGGGCACAACACTCATGGCAGCCTTCTATTACCCCAGGTACTATCGGCTCCATATGACAGAGGAAGCACAGTGAAGTTAGGGGACACGGGCAAGGCCACACAGCTAGAAAGTGGCAGAGGCAGGCTTCAAAGCCAGATGTGTCTGCCTCCAGAACCCGTGCTCACCGTACCTCTCTGTGGTGCCACCTTCCCTTGGTCACCAACCTTAGCAAGTCTCCTCTGGACAGTCTGCTCCTGGTGTAGGCGGGAGAAGTGGTGGTAGTAGAGGGAGACATAGGTCATGATGGAACGCTCATCAGGCTGGAGGGCCGCCACGTCCTCGGGGTCCAGCAGCTGAGCAATGCCCAGCTCCTGCTCAGCCACGTGGAAAGCCAGGTCAAGGTTGTGTAGTGGGCGCTTGGGATGCAGGGAGCAGTAGTCAAGCAGTTCTGGCCTGGACAGAAGGTAAGCAGAGCTCTTCGCCAGAGTAATTTACTGCTTCAGTCTAAGGGACTTGTTAAAAAGGCAAACCAGGGGCACCTGGGTGGCTCAGTGGTTGAGCATCTGTCTTTGGCTCAGGGCATCCCGGGATTGAGTCCCACATCGGGCTCCCTGCAGGGAGCCTGCTTCTCCCTCTGCCTGTGTCTCTGCCTCTGTGTGTCTCTCATGAATAAATAAATAAAATCTTAAAAAAAAAAAAAGGCAAACCAGGCCCTATTGGCCATTCACATCTTACCCACACATTAGTTTCCCCTGGCGGTAGTCTGAGCCCCTAATGAAGGAATGGGGCTCTGATGGAGAGGGGAGGGTTAATTTCTCCTCAGGGACCAGGCTTATGGGGGAAAAGCTCCAAAAGGGCAGGTACTTGGCAGGGAGAGGACTGAGAATAGAGTCAGGGACACAGAAAGTGGAGAAAGGCAGGGGTCCACGGCTGATTCCATGGGATTTCCTAGTGAAGGGGGAGGGCCTCGGCTCTCAGCCTTCTCCACTTCTGTGCCCAGGGTGCAGGGGCCAGGGGGATGTGGGAGATGGGCAGGTTGAGGACCCCAGCCTATTCTCCCTGGTCAGTGGTGGGGGCCTCTGAGAGGGAGGCTGAGGCCGGCCCCAGACCCGGTCGGGGCTGAGAGGGTGCTGGGGCCGTGCTCCCTGGTGCGCACCTGTGTGCATGGATGAGGGCACTGAAAGCGAGCCCGTCACTCCAGCTGCGGGAGAAGTCGGTGATGTTGACGTTGGCATAGCCGGCTGTCTTCCGCTGGCACCAGACCAGCAGAGCTTCCTTGGCAGATAGCAGGGCTGCGCTGGCCCCAAACTCCTCCTGGTAGGGCAGGACAGTACGTCACCATGCAGGCACAGCTGTGAAGGCAGCAGAACCCGCAGGCAGGCCGTGGGAGAGGGGGGCTGGGCCGGGTTGTGATCCCTCTCCCCCACCTGGAGGCAGGTGCAGCTTGCTCTCTCTTCAGAGTACCTGCTTTTACTGGATTTCATTTGTAGTGGTTGGGGACTGGGGCTGAGAGAGATGGTCCTTCCAGAGAAGTGGGGCGCCTGAAAGCTGCCACGTCTGAGCAGCTGGCTTTGAGTCACAGCTGATGACCTCAGGAGCAGGAGCTCCTGTTTCTCCAGCCCTTCTGATGGGCTGGGCATTGTGCTATCAATGGGCTTCAGGGAGTTGAGGCTGGGATTTGTTAGAATGGCTCCTGGGCCCCGTGGGCTGTCTGCCAGCCAGGCACAGGGCCCGTGCATGCTTGCGGCCCTAGGAGGTGGCCCTGTTACTGTTTACCTTCTAGGGATGATGCAAGGAGGTACAGAGGAGCAATTAGGTTGCTCAGTGTCCCTCCACCAATAGGGCAGGGACTTCCCTGACCAGGACCGACTGACAGTCCACCTCCAGTTGGTGAGCCCACCTGTCTACCACCCTAATGGCTCACAGAGCTGCTGAGGGCAGAGCCTGTGCTGCCTCTTCAGGCCAGGCTAGGGCAAGGACATTTTCATTTGGTTGCAACCCCCTCCACCCTCCATGTTTCTCTTACTGAGAATTTCCTTTATTCCGTTACTCTTTGTTCCACCTGCCTCCACCCTGCCCTGCTCTCTCTCCTCCCCCTCAGTGCTCCTTCCCCACCCCCTTCCTCCCTGCTACTCCCCCTCCTCCAGTCTCCATTCCTGGTCCCTGTCCTTCCCTCAGTGGTACTCTCCTTCCACCCACTCCCTCCCTCACCTTCCCAACCCAAAGTCTCCTCTTCTTCTTCCTTCCCAACTCTGTGCTTCCTCTTATTTGCTCCACCTTCCACCAATTCCTGCTTATAAACCCAAAATGTCAGAATAGGGCAGGTTGCGTCTCCTCCCTTGTCCTTTCGGCCTGGGGGCAGCAGAGCAGGGGGAGTGTTGGGGCCCAGAGCACATGCACTCAGCAGCAGGGCGAGGCTGGCAGACACGAACCAGAAGAGGGTCTGGGGTGTGAGCATGGGAGTGGGGGCATCTGTTTTGCAGGGAGCAGAGCCTGAGCCAGTCAAGGAGCAGGGTGACTGGTCAGGGGATGACACACCTACTGCTCCCAAGAGAAAGCAGATGTGTCAACTGGGACTGGCTTAGGGGACCAAGGAAGGAAGTGTAGCTGCATGGAAGGACTTGAGGCCAGTTAGAAATTCATCCATCAGGGACACCTGGGTGGCTCAGCAGTTGGGCGCCTGCCTACGGCTCAGGTCGGCTCAGGTCGTGATCCCAGAATCCGGGATTGATTCCTATATCAGGCTCCCTGTGGGGAGCCTGCTTCTCCCTCTGCCTGTATCTCTGCCTCTCTTTCTGTGTGTGTTTCTTATGAATAAATAATTAAATAAAAAAATGAGATTCATCCATCACTTCATCCACTGCATAGATGCTAGGCTTTGGGGACACATCTGGGCAAAGCCCCTGTCTTGGGGCTCACACTCATACGATGGATTTCTAGGGTCTTCCTGGGTTTGTCCCAGATCCATGGCCAGGGCTGGGCTGGGCAATTGGGAGCTGGGACATACCCTGTCCAGGGAGATGTGGGAAATCTGGAAACGCAGAATGATGACCCAGATGAGTCCCAGGATGAGTGTCTGGTCTCCATCCACGATGTTTTCTGGCCCAATGAAGGGTATCGGCACCTGTGGGCACAGTGGGCTGGACTCAATTGTGAAGCCCATGTGCCAGAGAAGACTCAGAGTAACCAAAAATCCAGGGGGTCTGCTGCCAGATGGGAGGGTCTTGGAATCCATCCTGCTCCAAGGTACCCAGCGGAGAAGAAGGCAGGGCACAATGCCAAGCAGGTGAAGCCTTTCTAAGTGGTTGCAGCTTCAGACTCAGGTCCTCCCGGGCAAAACCCCAGCCTGGTGGGAGGGGCTGGACTGCTGGGGTGGGGAGCTCCCTGTATGTGGGCTATAGATAAACATGGGTCAAAATCAGTGGCTTTGCCCTGGGGGTTGGAAATGAGGGGTCATAACAGTCCATGTATGAGCTCAATGGATAACAGCAACTGTTTGCCTCCATCTCACAGGGCATCTTGGAATGTCCAGGGAGTGCCTGGGTCCTTGGCTCCCACTTCACTCTCAGCCCTCTTCATCAGTGTTCCATCTCCTGTTAAACAGGAAGATTCCCAAGCTCCACCCAATCAGACTCTCCTGGGCCAGGGCCTGGGACTTTGCATTTGGATGAAGTCCTCAAGCGGTTTTCCTGGCCCTAAAGTTGAAAACCTGCTGCCCTAGATCTTGCCCACATGGACAGGGAGGAGGAGTGAATGAGAGGAGAAAGGAACGGAATAAACATCAAAGCCTCACAGGAGCCCTTTCACCCCTGGGCTCCATCTTCCTCTCCTGGATCACAGGGCTCCAAGGCCTGTGGGATTCTAGGAGTTCCTTGGGATTCTAAGTGTAGGTCTTGGGGTCTTTGTACTGGCTGTCCCTGCTGTCTGAAAATATTGCCCCCAGTAGCCACATGGCTACATCCCTCTCTTCTATGTCTTTACTCAAATAATCACTTTTTCAATAGTATTTTCATTAGCCACCTTATTTAAAATCCAAGCCCAAGGACTGTTCCGCTCAGACACACCTGCCTGACCCCCTCACCCTGCTTGGGTGGGGATCTCGGTTTTGTTCCCTGATGTCTCCTTAGTCAGGCGTCTGGCATATAATGGGTAGTGGATAAGTACATACTGAATGGAGAAAGAAGGGCGAAGTCTCTCCATAAGACCTGGAGGGAAGCTGGCTTCTGCCAACCACCTGCCTGGTGGATGGGGCTACACCTCTGGGTACTGTCCCTGGGTACCCTTTGTTTTATCTGCCTGGGGTCTGAAGGATCTACTCCGTGCTCAGCCTTCCTCTCCTGGCACATCAGAGCCCTTTGGCATTCTCCCCAGCTTGTAATTGGAGCAGCTGGTCAGTGGAGTGTTGGAGGCTGCTCAGACTGGCTTGCGAAGGCTGATCTTCCCACTTTGTGTTTAGTGATATCTCACTGGTAGCTTGGAATCAGCCGTGGTGGAGGTATTGATGCTGCAGAAATTAGCAAATGCTACAAACGAGGGCTTTTATTCCCTCTGCTCTCAGAGCTGGTTGTTAAACATTTAGCAGCACACGCTGATCTGGGTTCAAATCAACTGTCTTCCCTGAAACTGCAGGTGCCTTGCTTTGCTGAGTGTGGTCCCCAGAGCCTGGCATGGAGTATCCAGCACATGACAAGGTCTCCAGAAATGAGTGCATTCCACACTCTGCTACTCCTTAACCCTGTGTGGGGGCAACAGTATGTATAGTAGAGAGGAGACAAGGCTGTCACTATCATTGACTATGTATCAGTGACATGCTGTGTATCAAAGTTCGAGGGGAGCTGCAAAGCCTCTGACAAGGGCCACAGGGCTCCCGGTCTTTCCAAGTACCTGGAGGACAGGTGGCTGGCTCACAGGCTCTTGTACCTGGGACCAAAAAGGGCCTGGCATTCTGTGGCTGTCAGCTTTCTACTCCTCCCTCTGCTCAGGGACCACGGTACCACCATCCCTAGCTTTGGCTTCTAAGCTTCCCAGCCCCTCTCAAGCATGCCAGGGTCCCGGGGGCTGTGACTTCCAACCCAGGATGTAAGTGACAGGCACACACAGGTTCAGCCCAGCCAATTCCACCCAGCTCAGTGATTTTGCAGCCTCCAGGAACAGCCACCTCATGGCTTCAGGACCTGAGGCCAGGTGCCCTGTGGGCTTCTCAAATACTGGCTGTCAGTAAAATGACCCCTGCCTACCTGCTCCAACACTGGCTATTAGGTCCTTACAGGTCCCTGGGGTTTTTGCCTCTTTTAATGACTATTTCTTTGGCCAATCTCTTTCAGGAGACTGTGGCTCCCTCCTCCAGCCCCTCCCTGCTAACCGAAGCACCTCTCCAAGGCAGACCTGCCTCTTTTCCCTCCACTGTGTGGCTCAGTATCCAGGGCTCTTCTCCTGTGTCCTACCCTCAGCCTGCCTCCCACAACCCTGCATCCAGACTCTGCTGGCCCACTGACCATGTGTCTTGCCTGGTAAATTATTTCCTTATTTAGGAAAGGAGAAAGTTAAAAGGGAATCAGGGCGCCTTGAGGCTCAGTCAACTGCCTGCCTTCAGCTCAGGTCATGGTCCCAGGGTCCTGGGATCAAGCCCCCACTGGGGCTCCCTGCTCTGCGGGAAGTCTGCTTCTCCATCTACACCTCCCCCTGTTCATGCGTGCACTCTCTCTCCCTCTATGTCAAATAAACAAATAAAATCTTAAAAAAAAAGAGTACACTGAATCTTACAGCTTAGAATCCTGCAAATCTCTCATTGCAGGCAATTGCGCATTTCATACGAAGGCTGTCCCCCCCACTGCAGCCACTTTGGTGCCCTCTAACCTGGGAGTGCTGTTCAAGGAAAGGCTGTACTTTCTGGACCTCTGTCCCCAGCTGCTATTCCTGGAGTCAGGCTCCCAATCCTCTGCTCTGCCCTGGCCAGCCCAGAAGGATGACCTAGCACTCCAGCCGATCCCGGCTGCCTGCCCCGGTCCAGAAGCGGTCTCCCCGGTGCCCACCTTGCCCCTAAGGAAAGCCAGAGCTCGGCTGCTGTTCTCCAGGAAGTGTGCCCGCATGCGGCCCCGGCTGGGGGGTGGCAGGGCCTCCCCCGAGATGAGCTCCAGCAGCCGAAGTAGGTGGGTACCATCGGCCAGCTCTCTGTACAGGTTCTGGATCTTGATGCCCACCTAGGCAAGGTAGGGTAAAGGCACAGGGTCAGCGCCCCCCGACCCCCCACACGTCTGGTGGATCCCAGGACCCAGGAGGTACAGCCCAGAGCAGCTTCCTCAGGGAAGCACAGCCTCAGCTGTGCCGGAGGGTCAATAGAAGTGGCTTCAGCTGGGCTCTGGGGTCTGCACGAAGTTGCAGCCAGGTGACCTCACAGCTGGCCCTGAGTCTGCTGGCCGGGGAGTGAGGGGGACAGTAGAGGTGGGCTGTGGGGAGCCGCCGGCACACTCACCTGGCCATGCCAGAAGATGTTGTTGATCCAGTTGGTGAAAGTCTTCTCCTGCATCTGTGTGTGCTGCGCCTGCAGCTTGCGAACGAGGCTCATCTCGTAGGCAGAGTCCATGGTGGGACGGGCCTGGGAGAGCTGCCCCGGAGCTCTGCGGCTGGCCTCTTGCTTCAGGTGCCCTGTAGCCCCAAGGAGCTGCTGGGGACTGTGCGGCTGACCAGCCATCGGGCCTGCAGCCCTTTAGGGACGAGGGGCCTCCGGATGCTTCCCTGAGCTGGAGATGTTGAGGGGTGTGGAGGCTGGGGCAGGGGCGAGCGGTCCTCATATTTGGTGGGGGGTTTGTGGCTCGGGGCCTAGCCAGGTAAGGTTCTGGTGCTCCCGTTGGTGCCCTCAGAGCCCTTTGCCCCACCCCACACCAGGACTGGCCCCTGCTCCTTGGGATGAAAGGATGGGCAGAAGGAAAACAGGAAACTGCTCACCTTGGCGATGTCTGTACCTGGAAAGAGACCCTAGTGGACAGAAGGGAGCAGCAGATAGCAGGGGCTGTGCTGGGAGGGAGAGAACCACAGGAGAGGCCAAGGCCCTCCTCTTGAGCTGGAGGGGCTGGGGTGACCGCACACAGCCGGACATTGTCCTCCCACCTGCCAGAGGGCTTGGCCCAGACTGGGAGGGGGTGGCTCTGGAATGTGCCAGCCTATGGCTCCAGGATCTCCTCCTCATCTTCCCCCCACCTCCCATGCTCCCAGCATCAGATGGGGGTCCTGGCTGTCAAGACACAGAGGCCTGTGGGATGCGTCTCAGGTTGGCTCTGGGTGGGGGTGCCACGAGGGTGCTGCAGTCCACGTAAAAGGCACCTACATGGCAGAGCCTCTGGACAGAAACTTCTGTACCCCCTTCCCAGTCTGGGACTGCTCTTCTATACCCCTGCAGCACCGAGGGTGGGGGTGGGCTGGGGGGTGGGAGGCAGCATGCCCTCTCATCCTGCCCAGGGGCATGCCGCATAGACGGAGGGGAGTCCTTGGGCCCTGCGCTCGGCCTTCCAGGCCCTGACCTGGCCCAGGCGCACCCACAGTGGGTGCTCCCTTATGCCCGGGGACCACTTTCTGAAGGGGGGTCTCCCTGGGAAGGGGTAACTTGGAGCTGCAAAGGTGGTGGAAATGAGAGTCTCCTCCAAAGCTGGAGATGTGGTGTTCGCTTTTGGGGGGTTTGCGGTCAGGCCCCCAGCACCTGTGCTTCCAGAGAGCTGTCTGGGTCTCGGGGCTCAGGGCAGGAGCTGTGGAGGGAGCCTGCAGGCAACTCGCTCTCCCTCCCTGAGCAATCTGGAACTGCATGCCGGAGACAGTTCTAACTCGGGTGGCTTCACAAAATGTTCTGGCTAAACTCGGTACTGCAGGTTCACCCGGCAGCCACGGAGACTCTTGAGAGGAGATGCAGCTCTCCTCAGGCAGGTGTCCTTGACAGCCAAGGCTGGTGAGAGGAGGGGAGGCCGCAGGTTGCCCTCCAGAGCTGGGCAGGACAAAGCACTCCAGAACTCCATGCCCGAGGCTGGGAATGAGGGTCATGGTGCCCTTGGGGTAGTGTAGCTCCCCTGCATCTGAGAGGAGCATCCTCCCCTTGCCCTCTCCCTGTTAGGTCCCTCCTGCCCCTGGCTGGATTCCTAAAGTTGGAGTGAGCTCAAGCTTCTTCCTCGCTCATAACCCCAGATCCAGTCAGTCCTCAGTGGCGGCTGCTACCTGCTCCCCAAAACTCCATGGTCTACCCTCCCACCTGGTCTACTTGCACTGCTCCTGCACGGCCCCATCACGGTTCCCCGACTCAACGTCTTGCCCGCACATCAGCCTATGCACAGCCCACCAGTTAACCTCTCAGAGCACAACTCTGCTCATGCCTATGAAGACTCCTCATTGCCTGAACAGGACCAGAACTTTCCTTTTTTTTTTTTTTTAAATTTATTTATTCATGAGAGACAGAGAGAGAGAGAGAGAGAGAGGCAGAGACACAGGCAGAGGGAGAAGCAGGCTCCATGCAGGGATCCCGACGTGGGACCAATCGTGGGTCTCCAAGATCAGGACCTCGGGCTGAAGGCGGCGCTAAACTGCTGAGCCACCTGGGCTGCCCCGACCAGAGGTTACCTGCCCACACTGGGGCTTCAGCTGTTCTTTCAGCTTAGAATGTCTTCTCTGTTCCTCATCGTCCACATTTTCCTATCCTATCAGCCCCAGTTAAAATCTTGCTCCTTCTAGCAGGTTCCTCGCCCCTTGCTCCCAGCTTATTTCTCCTCCTATTAATAACCTTGGCCCAGGGCATCTTTTATGATGAATTGCATGATGCTTTGCACACAAACCTCAACAGAGATTATTGTATTAGGTTGCTGAGTGGGGCTGGGGAACTGCTTTTCTTCCTCCTTAGCTCAGATGTAGCTAAAGCCATTGCACATGTGGCAAAGGGACTGGTTCTTCTTTTGCTGCGGCTGATTGCAGCCCCTGCTGAAATGAAAATCCCTTGCTAGTCAATACAGTTTTGGATTATTTATGTGGCAAGTAACTAAAATCTTGAGTCAAACAAACATAAACAATATAAAAGGAATGTTTTGATCCAGAGGACTGAAATGTCTGGCAGGAAGAGGACTTTAGGGGAAGTTTGATCCAGCAGTTCAAATGATGCCACCACAGGCCTGGACTCTGTCCTCAATGCTTCCTTCACCTTCATGCCCCAGGAGGTGGTTGCTGTTAGTCTAACCTCAATCTTCAGCCCCCAGTTGCTCTGGGCACTCCTCTCAATGCCATTCATGTGGTAGCAATAGTTTCACTTCTTTAGAGAGAGAGGACGTCTCTCTCAAGAGTTAGAAGAGAAGTCCAAGGGGCTTGACTCTCACAGGCTTGAATTAAACCACATGTCCATTCCTAAACCAATTTTGTGACCTGGGGAATGAAATAACTCTAAGTGGTTCAAGCCAGTCAGGAGAAGTGTCCATCTCACCCTTAACCTCATGGCTCAGATGGAGGGTGGGGAAGTAGGGAGCATTCTGCAAAGGAAATTCTGGGTCTGGATCACCACAAGGGTAGATGGGGGACAGTGGGGAAAACCCAGATGTCTGCTGTGGTGGGGGTGGGGGTGTGTGTGTGACAGGAGGCAGGGGCAATGCCAGCCAGGTAGGGGGCTCCAACCTTAGCGCCACTTCACTATCAGGCACGGGGACTTGCCTCCGTGCTGAAGAGCACCAGGCAGCAGGCACCCATCTCCTTTGAGCACGCTCAGTGATGCCCTTCCCAGCCTCCGAAGGGCCCCCTCTTCTATCCTGGTTTCCAGTCATCCTCAGCTGGGGACTGCTTCCAGACCTGGCCTCTGCCCCCAGCAGATGCAGCTACTTGCCAGCTAAAAGCCCCACTTTGGGAGTCTCCCAGCCTAGAGGATCTGCAAAGATTTGGGGGTCACCGTGCGGGATGGTCACCGCACAAGGGGCACGCCCTCCCCACTAACCCCTCGGCCTCATTTCAGCAGGGAGCCGACAGATCCCTGCTTTACTCCTTGAGACAACTGGGTCACTGGAAAACCAGAGCCAACGGAGGAAAGGTAGTGAATATTTTCAGAAATTTATTGATCAATAGATTGTGTCTTTTTTTGACACTTCTAAACAAGATTACAAAAAAATAGAAGCATTGTGTATTAACGGCATTGGCTAATTGACATGTAACTTGATACACTCTCAAATTAGGCCCATGTTTACCTGAATAAACTCAGCGGTTACCTGTCCTAAGAATGTTATTCCTCTGCTACATTCCACAGAGGAAATAAATCGCTTTCCTTATCTTCAGGGCAATTTCCCCGGGTATCGGTCTGGGCATAATGAAGAAGTGCAATGGCGCAGAGTGGAGAGGTCCCAGTGGCGGTGAACCCCATGCGGGGCGGGGGACGGCAGTGTGGTGTGGTGGACAGGCGGCAACTCGGGAGACTCAGCAGAAAACGGGGAAGGGGTGGTCGGGGGCAGTGGGGCCAGGGCTCTTCGGAGGCTTCCCTGCGGGCTGGTCATCGGGGTAGGGGTCGAGGGGAGGGCAGGAGGCATTGGCGTCTCCTCACGTGCTCTCCGACCCACCTGGACACCCAGTCCCGTGATACGGAATTCAACTCCTCAAAGGCCCACCATCCTGAGGGAGGAAGCACGGCTCCAGATCTAAAGATGCTCTCGCTGCAGGACAAACATCTCGAGGAGGACCCAGTCCAGCCCTGGACAGGCGAAAGTCGGCCAAGTGAACGGCCCTCCCCATTGCAGGGTGACCCCCAGGCCATTCCTGGGTGCAGTGAGCGCTGGATGCCTGCATGTCGCCACGGAGCTGGATGGCTTCCATAGGGCTTGGAGCAACACTTCTTGCCAGGTAGGGTCAGCAGGGCCTCATGAGCAGGCTTATGGCTTGGAACTGACTTTGGGAGGAGGCCAAAATTGTTTTTCCCCCTAAACTCAAGGCTGCGGAGGTTTGTTGCATGTATCACATGCTGGATGGAAAATAGATTCAGGATTTTTAGATTTTCTTTTGTGGAATTGTGGAGAGCATGGAGAGTTCGTTTCACAGTCCTAGAGCTGACCTACCTCCACCCTCCTGCCCACCTGTAAACATGCGCGGGATGGGGTGCTTTGAAAGTTGGGGCAGCGTGGGAGGACCATGTGGTCGGGCAATACGAACAGAATTCTAGAGGGCTCTGCTGTCCCCCAGCCCCGTGGCACAGGGAGGTGGGATAATGAGTGTTGTGGACACAGACTCAAGGAGCTTTGTGTGGACCCTGGGAAGATAAGGGTCCTCATCCTCGGCAGTGATCCCTAATGTTTTCTAGTGCTTTTCTTTCCAATCCACTTTTCAAAATGAATGACTTCATGTCGTAAGAAAAGACGTTAAGAAAAATGGGCATGTGATTTCTCTCTTTTTTTTTCTTTCTTAGCAGCTGCCAGATGTTCTCCTACCTGACTGCATGGGGGTAGTGATCACAATGCCCTGAGAAGCTTCCTTCCATGTAGAAGGCAGAAACCTCAGTCTGCTGGCCCTCTAATAAAAGTTTTCCTATAGATCTCTGCATAGACAAAGCTTGGCCATATCTGCATATTTACACATTGACAAGTGTCAAGAATACATACTCATGTGGTGTATGTGTGTGTGTGTATATCTTTATATATGATGATTGAGAAGAATTAAAGGAGCAGGATAATTCTGAATGGAAAATCAGCTCACCCTGGC